CTTTTAAAAAAAGATAACTCTTAAAAAGAGTTTGCGTAGAGTTGCCGCTACAAGAGCGTAAATTTATATGGGCCGAGTGCAGGGCTTGGCCCAGATCGTTGGACTTGTTTCCGTCGAAACTACTACCCACTAATTCTCAATTCTACTATAAAGCTTTATTCCAAATTAATCCAGGTCTTCACTGTACAGTGCTAAGAAGGTACTACAGTACTACTAGGAGGAACTCGATCAGCATGCTGGGGTCATTCTGATCAGCTTTTCCACTTAACCAAACTAGCTAATTCCTTGAATGAAAGCGTATGTGTCAGTGCATCCTCTAGATCTGATTTCAAAGCATCGCTTACATTAAGGTAAAAAGTTTAAATTAAACTTTGAGAAACAGATCTCAGTCTTTTGTTTTAACAGTCTGTAAAACGCAGTCTGAGCTAGACAGTCGAGCGAGATTTCGGCAATTATTTGAATAGGTCATTTATATACATACGAAAGGTTTCCGCATGATGCGCAGATTGATAATATGCCTTGCAAAATATAAGTATAACAAAAGCTGGACAAAAGAACATCGAACTTACTTCGAACTTAGTAAGTTTGAGTTTAAAGCTTTTCGTATAAAAGGGGCTGAATTCACGTGGAAATATATACTGTTACCGCCAAGACATTAATACAGTAGCGATATCTACGAAGTAAACCTATAAATGCTAGAAATCCATTGATAGATCTGATACATAGGAGTTATAAGCATTCTTATTTGCGCTTTATATAAAAATAGGTCGATTCTTATGAAAAACATTTAGATATTTTGACGCTTTCTAGCGACAGTCACCAGCTCAACGTTTCTAGTCGTGATGCTGCTGTTAATTGTATTCGACAGCCCTCAAACTCTTGTTGTGATTATGACCTCCATCGAGTTGCCCTTCTGCCTAACACACTTTAGCTACTCTCAAACAACAGTAGCCGGGGTCACTTCAGTGTCTTGGGTATTATGCCCTCCATCCCCTACATTGTACGCTAGTGGCAGACAGATACAGCTGTTCTGTCAATCTGCTAGTAGTGTCTATCGATGAGTATTTTCTTGACGGTGTCGTCGTACGGCTGTTGTCGTCTAATGATTGCCGATTTTGATGATGGCGGTTATTACGGTGCTGATGGCTTTGGCGCGGTGATGCAAAGGAACGAAGGGGTCATTGACCCTCCGTTGTGGCCCCAGTTGCTGCTGCCTTTGCCTTGTGTTGGGTGTTGTTCACTGTAGTCGCCTTTACAACTGGGTCTTCATATCAGCTTGACTTCTTTCTCGCCTTTTCGTTCGTATGTCTATGCGGCCTTTTCATCGGACGATCGCTGGATAGAGTTGCATGACGGCGGAATTCTTCTGGCGACGGCTGGCCGGTCGCTCGGTCGGTCGATCGTTCGCTCGCTTGGTCGATCGATGTGAGTTAGTCAGTCAGTCATTCTGGCCACGCTCCACAGGCCGACGACTGACTGCCAGCCCATGCGCTTAGAGCGAAAACGAAGGTACGTGCCAGCTACGGCGCTTTATGATAACGTCGTGCCGCTGACTGCACTGGATGGCATGCTAGTTGTAATTTTAACTGTTCAGCGATTCAGGGCCACACGTTCGCATTCGAGAAAGGGAACTCGAGAAAGGAAGTTCCGGATATTAGAGTGAGAGAATAATAAGCCCAAATAACAGGCCGAAGTAAAACGAGCAAACGGTAAGGGTGTGCGATGCTATACGGCGGACGCGTCATCGGTGCCGTAAACCAATTTAACTTTTTCGAGGCTGCACGAGAGTACAATAATAAATCGTTATTAACGTTTTTCATAATTTTCTCAAGCCTTCCTGTCTGTCCGCCTTTTCGGCTAATCTGAGTGTGTGTACCGTGTTGTTACTACTATGAATCCGATGGTTTCTGCCGTCGTCAACCTACGTTCTAGTGAGTTCAATTAGAGCAATTTGATTCGCTAGTCATCTCATCTCGTGACTTTAGGATAGTGTAGCCGGGCGGCTGGGGCTTGAACAGCTGTTTCTTTTGAGCACTTTCGCGAAGACCTTATCGGAGCGCAGTACCGTCGGCCTGCCTGACATGAAGGTTGTTGCTTGATTTCGCGTAACTACCAACAAGTCAAATACATAAATTCATACAGTTGCTTGTCTGCAGTTGGTATTGGAACGAATATACGTATAGCTGTGACAATCACATACCCGACTAGACTGATCCGTATCGCTGAGAACGTGAGCGCAGGAGCGCTACAAGCGCGATGTTGCTCATGTACGATGCTGTTAGAGGTCTACAACAGGCGAATTCAACCAACAACAACGCCGCTAGTAACAGCCAAAGCAGTGCGAATAAAAGCAACTCTAAACAGTCGCCTGGTGGTGAGTCTTATTATTATTTAGAAGGGCTGTACCGCAAGCAATAATACGAACAGAATTAGCAGACTAAACAGACGTTGCTGCCAGCTTGACGGTGTCAATTCGCTATTTTATAAAATTGCGTTAATTCGCGTACGTGCTGGCGATTGTTAGCTGGTTTAGTTTAAACATTATTTCCTATGTAATAAGCACAAAAGTTAATTAACCAAGAAGTAGCGATGAATATTTTCGATTGATAAGTTTTTAAAGGAATGATTAATATTCACGATAATGGAAAGACTTAGCCTCTCTATGACTAAAAAGATAATGGCATCCGTTCTAACTCATTTTAATTCATGTTGAGTAATGAAATTAGCGTTAACCATAATTTGAGCGTGTAGGGTTCGCAAACTTTATATTATTAATAGTTCAAACCCGGTGACAAAGAAAAAATTCTGGAGAATGGGTTGTTCGTTGTTTGATTAATGTGCCTAGATATGAAAAATTCTGTGAATAGAAGTAAAATGATTCAAGATATTTTCTTTTTTTTCCTTTTATCTTGGACGATGTCAATCGACGAACATATAGCGCAACTATCATTTCCGTTCCGCATCAAATCTCTTTTGCCACTATTGAAAAAGCTTTAAAGGGGTTTTCTGACGATTCTAATCGAATCAACCAGTAAGTAAATGGACATTCGGTAATAACGTATTTATATTGATCAAATGTATTTAATTAGACACAGATAACGTGAAAGATGCAAAACATCTTTTATAAGTGATTTACTATACTACGCTTCAGGTTTTATTTCAAAATTTATGAAATTATTGCTTGTACTGATAGGAAGCCTTACTCACAGGAACTTCAAATTTTCAGTTTTTGAAACCGGCGTCCAGGGCCCAGTTAATAAAGCAGGTCAACGATCGCAAGGGAACACCACCACAAAAGGAACACAGAACAATGATGGAGGACAAGGGTAAGTCGATTCCCCTAGTAGGTCGTGGTACCATTCAGTCATGAGTGCGAACTCACATAGCGTCGGACATAAGAACGACGAGAGGCATGGAACAAACAGCTGCTAAAGATAGTCGGATGCAATAAATTATGTAATATAAATTATATTAAAGACCTTTTTCATTGCGTAAGTATCTCTATTATACAGGTCAAACATCCAAGCTGACAAAATCTTCGTGGGTTTCTAAGAAGTAGACGCTCTTGAACAAAAATTAAGTGGGTTAACAATTTAAATATGCTGTAACCTCTGCATTCCATGCGTTATTCGTTTTAATGCCTGGTTCAATGATGCCTTGAACTGACGCCAAATTTTAACACCCATTATTAAGTTTAGTAATACGTAGATGGTGTATAACAGACTAAGCACTACTTCAAGTATCGATTAAATTGTTTAGGCGGAAGAAACCCTAAGAATAAAGGTGATTGTGTTTCTCAATTACATAGGGATGAGGGTGGCCTGCTCCCACCCCAGTTGAACACTCGCAGGGTCTGGTCAAGCCTTCAGTGGGGTGCGTCCCTCTTGTCGCGCGTTACCGAAAAAGCTACGGAATCGGTGAATAAAGTTATTACCACGCTCGATCCACAAATGAAACCGATAATTTTCTCTGGCGGAACTCTTAGTATTGTGGTCGCGTCCGATAAAAATGACAAAATAATGCCAATCCAAGATGCTTTCTGGGACGTGTTCGGAAGAGCTACTGTGGAAGGTACGCATAACTATTTTATAACAGCTTTATATTTCACTGACCATAAATTAGTCTTTTTTTTATCTATTTACTTAAGAGGGAAAAGGAAAAATATTTGGCTGCACTATTTGTTACGCGTGTTCATATCATTGTGATGAAGAAAGGTTTAGTCCCATCGATCGTTTAATCCTTTCCGGTTAATTAAATATACCCCCGTCTTCTAGAAAGTATGGTACCATATTTTTGTGAATTTTGGGACTTCTCGCCGACCAGGCGTAAAAGCACAACCGTCATCGATGGCTGCTCAGCCCGTCGGATTCACAGCAGGTCTGAAAGCTGCCGAGGACCGAGTACATTGTTTGCGTTCTGCAGGCGACGTCGATCCGGACGTACCCGTCGTAGCTGTTGAGGGATTCGTTGCTGAATTAAGCACGGATCGCTGGAGTGAATTAGCGTGTGTCCTATTACAGGACCGCACCAGAGGTATTAATTTAGCTCTGTACACTCAGGCCACACCGCTTGAAGACGAATGGGTAATAAGAATGAGAGAGGATACACCACCGGATTATCCACTTAGGTGAGTAGAGCGAAATAACTAGTAACAACGCTATTTATTAGAGATATTGGTAGCTCAAGTAAGGCCTTTAAATTTTAATTATATAACAACAGTCCCTTTTGCTTTATCCAAACATAGAGCTTAAATGAAATTTTAGTGACTCCCAGTAATTCTGGTACATTTATTGATGTTCTTTGAGTAGCTGGTGTGGATTTGCAAAAACTATTGGTGAAGTGGCTTCGGACGCGCTACACTGCCCAAAAAATGCATGGCATGAACGACACACAGGACTTCCACGATCAGCATTAATCTACCAGGCCGCCCGAAGTCTTGCTTTCATCTACCAACAACGGCTTCAGGCGAAACAGGATGAACTGAACCAACAGCTGCAACAGCTTGCTGTAACAATGGCACCAGAAGGATGTGCGGCACAGGGCGTAGGTGGCGGAACCATACAGGACAAAATCACCGCCACTCCCACCGGTTCTAGTGCTCAGTAATTTTGTGATGTTGTATATATATTCGTACATAGGGTTTAGTAATGAACAAAAAATTAGACTATATTGAATAACAGACCTAAGATGATGCAATGGTAGTTCGCGAACGCGTAAGATACGATATGGGAAAAGATGATTATGATGAAGATCATTACGCACGAGGACAGCAGTAGGGAAAGTTAAGCATCCACCTAGTTTTACCTGTTCTCTGACGTAGCAGTTGTATTGTGTAAAAGAAATGCCACAGCAGGGGAACGATGAGATGGTTTTCTCAGCTATTTATTGTGCAACAGACGGCATGACACGTTGGCCATGCATTCGAGCATCCAGATCATCGCGAATTGAATATCCTGAATATTTTCTAAACGATATGTATTTCTAGAAGGAGACAGCAAGATAAAAAGAATTCACTTAGTGAACGTCCGTTAATGTACAGTGAGGTTTATATAAACGACCCACTTTAGAGTGTTAGCATTACTCTGTTTGCACAATCTAGGTGATATGATGCCATGATATACAAAGTTTTCTGAGGTTTAACAGGAAAATTGGCTGGGGTAATAGGTGACTAATATCTACCCTTTAAGCCAAGACATATTTAGGCGTCAAACGTAATATGAACGATGGCATTCTGTCACTGAGAATATGTTAAAAATAAAGTTAAGTATATTGAAATGTGTACATCAAGATAATCGGGGAGACAATCCCCTTTAACACTTTGAAGTAAAAAGTAGCCTAATTCGTAAGCCATGTAAGTATAGCTTGTGGGCATTTCTAATCCACAAGCTGAAGCTGATACTATTATATATATTCATTTGCACTTTTATTTTTATTATTATCATCATCATAATTATTCACTACGTGTAGCCTATATGGTAGATGTCTGTAAGCGTTATGATGACTGATTTATTAATAAGTACTGCAGAAACTCGTAATTCTTTATTATTGCTATTAATAATAAAAACTAGAGTATTGTATTGGGGAAATCCTAACTGAGAGGCATACGGTAGAGTCATAAGTTGGTCGTTAATATGCACAATAAAGATAAACAGTTTCTATATTATATTGATGATGAATTTATTGATCGATTCTTGTTGCCGCGGGGCCAGAATCCTAAATCAGTAAAAAGATTTTTTAGGGCCACATCATAAATTGCAAGGTACTATTTTTCATTGTTGTCTCTTGCGTTCTAAACCGAATGAGTGTAGAGTGTGGCAGTGCTGTAAATCTAAAATAAAAGCAAAAACTTCACGCATTACCAATAATCAGGATAGTTGAAAGACAGATGCGTGGTACGTTTGTGCTATTTGCTTTATGGCGTTCATGGTTGCTCGGGAATGTGCTGCACGGGCCCATAAGGCTCCTCATAGATTTCGTCTTCATTACGTCGCCCGTCACGTGCACTGATCCGGTACCTTTGATTGGCATCAAATCGATTTTTGCCCGTCCCAGAGGATGAGCTTTGATCTCGATTGTCTCGGTTGGGCATTGAATCAAACAGACCGCGGTGTCCTCCATTGTTTGGATCGAAACGTGGATCAAAACGACCAGGGTTGTTAAACGGATTATTATTCTCATATCGATTAACACTATCCACGTATTTTCGCGTGGAATCGTAACGACTATCGCGTCCAGCACTTGATTCGGTATTATCGAACCGGTCATACCGTCCAAGCGGATTAAATCTCGGATCAAAATTGAAGTTGTGATGGTTGGGCTTATATAAGTAATAGCTGAGACCACTGCGTTCTGGGTAGAACAGCTGTTCGTTGCTAATCCATTTTTCAGCGACTGAATGTAAACTAACGGGAAGTGGTTTGCTGTCATCGTATTCCGGCAAATAGTTGCTTCGTTTGAAATGAGCGCGAACAAAAACAGTGTAGTTCATATCCTTGATTAGCGGCGCATTGCATATCTGAGTGTACATAAGCTTATCGCACTTTTCGTCAACACCGATTGAACAAACAACCTTTTTGCGGTCACCTCCTTGAAAACACGGAAAGCGGGTATAATCAGGTCGACGTCTGTCCATGGCGTTGCTCAGGTTCCAACCAAGCGGCGATACTTGAAAAACGGCTCGAATCTGTTTACGTTTCATTTTATCTTCAACAACTGCTTTTGTAAAGTCGGCAGCTTTCCAGCTCAGTAAGTCGAACATTTCTATGGGGCTCACAAACACCGAGATGTTCGTAACCAATCCGGCCTCAATAACGTCCTTAAAAATGTCCTGGTCAATCTCAATATCAACACTTTGACCACCTACCGAATTTACTGACAATTCCCTGGAGTACTGAGATCGCAGGTAAACATCTGCTACAATTTCTGGTCCGTAAGCCTGCGAGCCGTTGTGCAGAAGATTGTACGGGACAACTTTAATAAACAGCTTTCTTTCATAAAAGCTAATCGGCTCGACAATATGCCAGGTATGGTTCGTTTCAATCTCCATGATCGTAATGTTCTTGAATTGGATGGCTCTGAAGTTAAACTCAGGCTTTTTGTAGAGGCCTAACATATATCCGGATAACGAATTTGCACCAATTTCCTGGGGAGGAGTCCAACTAATATTTAGCTTTCGTGCTCGTGGCATGTACGCAACGTTTCGATCCAACACATCGATCATGAGCTGCTGTACAACCGACGGCGCAGCAATAATTGTCTCAAAGGTGAAATTTCGCAAAAGCATAACATGCTCCTGGTAAATTGAATACACCCTTGCCGTGTAATTCCTGAACGGGATAAGCCGAGCTGTCGGGTTCATAGTAGTGGCTTTTCGCATCTCAAACCGAAGTGTCTCCCGTTCGCCTTCGATATCAAGAAAGTACCAGCGTGATGTACGAGGCCCCGCCCTCCTATCGAGCAGATAGTTGTGATGTTCATTAGCTTCGTAACAGGACCATGTAATAACTGCACACACCTCTGAGTGTCTATTAGGGCAAATATCCTGGTGTACCACATCGAACGCCACCCGCGCCGCGCCATGTGTGGCGAAGTTAGAAATGCGCCCGCCGAAAAACGCAGACGACCAGGCCTCAACTCGAGGTACATAATCTAAAGCACTAAAAACTACTGCTAGAACGGCTAGCCAACGAACAACCAAACTACACATGGCCACCAAGCATACGAGCTCTCACCGCACGGGGACGCTTACGTTGTTACGCCACGACCGATTCACACAATGACTGCAAGCATTTATTCCTCTGTACAAGGCTGGATAGACATTCGTACCACCATGGTCGTATACATGTACGTTATTGGTAATACCCTTCATCAGATTCCGCTTTTGCGCGCTTTGGCCAGGGTGCTATGGTTTCAAGGTTCTTTTCTATCCTTCAAGCCTAATTAGCTGTAGCCTCGCGGCTGACAACAATTTGTCTGGGATATTCTCACACCTATTCACTGATCTTCTATAAACGCGATCGCGCGTTGGTTGAAACGTACAAATCACTAAGTACGATCTCACGTTTCAGCCCTCAAGCTGAAAAGTAGCGATTGTCTTGTGGACTGTAACCTATAATCACTTATCGTAAACACAGTAAATACAAAAACAGACAGACGCATACACAATACGTACCTATAAAGAGGCCGTACCAAGTCACCATACAAGAAAAGAAAACACTGGAACATCTATTTGTTAATAACGGGTTTTCTTCTTTCTATTTATTACTCACTTAGCGAGTCACCACCAACGCTGGCTGTCCAGCCAGCAGCGGTCATTGATTGACGGTAAAATACTCAATCAAGAACCATTCTCGTCTTTTTGTTTATCGCGTCCCTTTAAATATAGTACTTTATATATAGAAATAATCTCCCACGGCTGCGAGCATAAACAGATATAAATAATATAGATTTTCGTAACTCCCCTTATATATGGCAGAACGCCAAATATTTCGGTTCTGGGTTTCCGAACCAGTAATAGTAATAAAAACGATATGTATGCGCCATAGCTGACACATACGGCGATGGTCTAGAGTACCATACTGTTAGTCGAGTAGTTGTATTATTTCTACTAAGTGGCTCGTCAGATCGAACAACGTCGATGTGTTTTTTATGTCTGATGCACATCACAAACGTAAATCACTATGTAGGTGGTCGGCCTGTATGTTGCATAATGGATAACAAGAATTATACACAAGTAAGCCGGTGCAAGTGTTAATAAGTTAATTGCTTAGCTATATCGTCTACTCTTGTTGGGTGTCAACACTGCTGTCCGCTACTACGAATAATTCTCTATTAATACATCTGAAAGAACCAGTCTAAAAACTGACCAGCTGACTACAGGCAGTGGGTGATAATGGTGAAGAAAACTGACTGTCGGAACCTAAGAAGAATAGACGAAACGTGCGTGTACCCGAGTCATTTGCGTTATGAGAGAATTAGTCGATGAATCTTTTGGATGGACGGGTAATCGATAAATACGGACTCCGTCTTCTCTTGCTCGAACGGAACCTTAACACGGCCAATGAGACTAGCGTCCTTTTCCAAATGTGCCTGCAAAATTTACGTCAATCGGACATAATTTTATGATGACAATAATAAGAAAAAACTAATATTCTCCTACTAAAATTACGCATAGTGATATATGCGTGCAGTTTTACTAAAACATCTTCTACCAAAACTTATCCGTGGGTAAATCCTTCGTTGTCATGTTCTGTAAAATTTTTCCTCTAATAAAACCAACCCCTCTTGACCAATTCCAGCTGCCTAAAATGTGACAGATATGAAAATTAGGTGATGGTCGGACATATGGGTAGTCGTAGTTATAAAGCAAGCGATTTCAAAAATCGCTTGATTGTTATATAGCACACATAATTCAAGCACATATATATATATATATATATATATATATATATAAGTTTAATACACTAGGACTACAACGCAAGGGGTGATTGCATCCATATTGTTAAGACAATGCTAGCCAACTGCGTTTACCTTAGTGAACAAGGGGTGAGGGAACTCCCGCAGGGATGTCCGAATATGCTGACCAGGTCGGACGCGTGCTACCAATTCTCGAATTTCGGTTTCAAGCCTAAAGCTTTGTTCCTTAAGACGCGCCAATGTGACCTCACGGGCAGCGTGCTGAGCCAGAGCTGTACCGGCATTCTTTGATCCCAACGGGGTAATCGTGCCTTGCTCTGCGAGCGTAGAAAGGTACTCCTAATATACACGGGGATAAGAAAAAACCACATTGTGATGATGCTATGCTTAGTTTAAGCAACATAAACGAATAATAGTAAAACTGCCCCACATTTGAACGACTGTACTGGTATTCTACAAATCGATTGAATAAAACAAAAGGAAACGACACGTACGGATCTCACTTGGTTAATTCTCTTGGTGAGTTCGTAGATTTTTTGGCGAATATCGAGATGCTCTTGTGGAAGGCTATCCTCTTTGTTGTTGGTTGCTTTCAGTAGCCAGCCGGGGTTTTTGGGGATATTTAGGGCACGAAGACGATTTGCTGCTTTACTTACTTCATCTGCCGTCCGGTGGAAGTTTGAATTGCGAATAGTCTGGAGTGCACGGCTCAAGGCGGCAACCTGACTACGCAGACAATCAATTGCTTCATCTGAAATGGATCGAAATCAAAGATATACAAAACATGCGGTTCATATTAATGTATCAAACTGATAGAAAAGCGACGAATTTCTAAACAATCACAACAACATTAATAAGTAATGTTTGTTCTGAGAGTAAAGCTGAAAACGTATTGAAATTATACTTAAAGATAAAATTTCACGTAATGAGTAGTGAGTATTCCTTTAATGTAAGTATCTAATAATTATCATGCCTAAAAATCGTTGTAAACAAACATTTCATAGGAATCTTTATGTATTCATCGAATTGGGGCTCACCAGAAACCTGTCCAAAACCTTGGATAAGTGGAGCACTACCGGAGGGCGGAGCCGTAGTCGGCGCGTGCGAATGTGCCGGACTCATGCGAACATCCGTGCGGATACCTAGAGCATCTCCTTTTCGTTGCAATAACTTAATTTGTTCTTTAAGTTCGCGGCGCTCCTTCTCTAGTTGACTAATGTCTGATTCGAGCACTTCGGTTGTCTCGTTATGTTCCTTTTCGTTCTTCTTCATTTGAATCTGAAGTTCGTCGAGCTGACGCTGAAGTCGGTCGCGTTGTTCTTCCACGTCCTTGCATGCCATGTCTATACGTTTTTCAGCCATATCACGTCGCAACGACATTTCACGCACCTCTTCTGTCTTTGCTTTCACCGCTTTCCGCAACTCTTGGATATCGCTTTGCTGTTGTTCTATACGCACCCGCATCTGATCCATGTCCTTGGCCTTCTCCTTTGCTGTCTGAGCGCAGATCTGCGCGGGTGGTGTCATCTTAATTATACTTGAGCCCTCTTTTTCCATTGAGCCCTCTTGCACTTTGTCGTTCAAAGCAGTCAATGCATCCAGGACTCCCTTTAGCGACAAGCGTAAACACTCGGGCCCGTTATCATCCTTGCCGTACACACGATCCGTGGCTTCATGCGTCAACTCTTTGAGTTTTTCTAGTGCGATCTCCTCGTTGTGTTCGCCCTGCGAAATTGTGCTTTGTATAGCTGCCTTCTGCAAACTCAAGAATACCCTTAAAACCCGGCCTAGCTTGTGGCAGCATTCCAATACCTCTTCCTGGGTGTCTGTGCTTAGCTCCAGTACAATGGGTGAATTCTGTTCCGGGACGCGTCGTTTAATCTGAAATGTCGAAACTCCAATGATTTTATACATATACATATATATGATACCAAGTATGGCAATTGATAGTGTAGGTATTTTCTAACCAAACTTCCGAGATGATTTTATAGATAATGAATTATGGTGATCGTAGAATATGTGTAATGTTAAGAATGCAATTTCATACCTTTTTAAGCACTTGCTGAATCTCTTCAGTAACAATCACCGCATCGTCCAGAAGAGCAAGTAATTCGTCTTTATTGTCCTTCGTTAGACTTTTTATAGCCTTGAGGCAAGCTAGGATTGCATAACATGATACACCCATTACTTTCAAACGATCTCCCATAAACTGCGAGCCGGACACACGCTCCGAGGAAAGGTGCACGCTGTAAATTTGGGCACCCACAAACTAGTTACAATGGACTCAGATGTTTGGAACGTATAGGTATTCTTACACGTTCACCTTATCATGGTCTACAATCCAAAGGTACATATAATTTGCATGTACCGGAATAGTGCAATTTAACTGAATTTTATCAAAGGACACTAAAATACCTGTAGAGGCTTTCAAAATATGTGACAGCTTTCTCCAATTTATCCAGCGGCACGTTTTCATCAAGCTGATCTTTTCTGAGCAAATCAATATAAAAATCGATAAGCCTCTCTTGAGCTAGCATCTCCGAGAACAGCGTCGCACATTTCTGATACAAATCCACGCTACAGGAATCGAACGCCCTACAGAACGAACGAAAACATTAATGAAGCAGCTTTAATAGCATAGGCATTTAATTAGTTCCATAGAGACGATCAAATATCTGGAGAAATTATTTTCGTTACGATGCGACGACGAAAAAATAGTCAAATAAAAATGTGAAACGAAGCTAATTGGTCCCTTCAGCATTGCGTTCGCCGTGTTAAAACTGATGCAAGATTTATCTTCATGATGAATTGTTTATTTTCTGCTTATGCTGTTGAATTCATAAACACTGGCAGATCAGTTCATGGTCTTCGGTTGTCTAGTATATAAAGTTAGTATTTATTAACTTGAATAATTATCAACATAATTAATGAACGCTTGATCCGTATTGTAATACTTGGAAAAAAACCGTTACGCTAAAAATTAAAAGTGAATTTATGTTTATTAGGTGGTCAATGATGGATGTGCAAAAACGATTTAGGATTGACAAAATGAATAGACGGAATTTACGCTTTGCCTCCTCAACCTGAATCGCTTAAGTATTGTAATATATAAGAAATATAAATACAGTGATAAATATAGGTCTATGGCTTTAGAGGCGTAAATCGAGTGATGGTGTTCCTGCTTGCCGGTGACAGAGCTAGTTAGTCTGCCTAAGTATATAACGACCAAACTGGTTTTCGCCGCTATACTATCAAGTAGTTAACTTAATGATATCTTCCAGTTGAGTAAGACACAAAGAGCCAAAACGCCAAAAAACAGTCAATCAAATCGATGGCAAGCTTAGTTTACGTTCGAATTACTGAAATGTTCCAACCTGAATGTAAAGGTTGATAAGAGTTGCACTCTGCAAAAAACGATTCTGACTGCTTGCTTCGTACGCTTTCCATACCATTGAAAATGAAATTAGGCGAAACTTATTTCGGATATTTTTGTACGGATTGCCCCTTTACTGAAATGTTCCTCACCTAGACGAGATTATTATGGAGGTTACCCTCAAAACATATTAAAGGCGCAGCTAAGTTAATTGTGACAAGGCTATACGAGTGAAACATAAAAACTGCCTATTGAATTCTACGCTGTTGCCGAATACGTAGGTCTAGCGAATCTGGACCTGTTGCTTCTTCGTCATTTCACTTGCTCTAGTTATGTCAACTGCGCACTCAACTGAAATGTTGTTTGGTAAATTTTGAATATTATATAGATCTTGCCTACTTCGAGCTTTTCATCTGGGACACTTACGTGGTGTACTGTTGTAGTAGGGCATGCAGCGTGTAGAGAAGATATAGCATCATACAGCCGTAAGTATATTGCTCGAGTGTGTGCGTTCTCAGGACAAGAGCACGCGTAATGTACTCTGGCGCGGGAAATTTCTCACGTAACTGCGCCGCCAAGATATCGCACTTGGCAATAATCCTGGGTACGAGAAGGAGCATTTTGACAGCTTCATGGTCTCCGCCACGCGCCTGCTCAAAGCCAAGCAAATTGTAGCTTATGTAATAGTAATATAGTAAGCAATCAGAAAATTCATTAATTGCTTGGTCATACGTATGATACGCCCTAATCTAAATTTATAAGCAAGCTGAATTCGACTACATATGTTCTACAGAACAAACAGTTTATTTGCTGCTTAATTGCTTAAAGGTATAGTTTAGCGCACCCATCAGGTACACGGAGTAAATATAAAAGTCAAAACGGATATTCCTATTTATAATCTAACACTGAACTTATTAATCTAAACCGACTAAATATTGTAAGCCGGTTAACAAAGGATGTGCAAAATACTAAAAGGTACATTATATGTTAGTTAAATAATTAGTGAGATGAAAATGCATGTAGAAAAAGTCCGTAAATTTCTGCCGTTCATACCTGAAATGCATCCGGTAAAAAGGCACACACGTATCTCACGTGCTGATTAGCCTGCACCACTTCCAGCCGCCGTAGTTCCATCTCGATGGCGCGAGCATGAGCTTTTGTTTCTGCGAACCGCACCTTGTAGTCGATGGATTCAGTTGCTGTCTGCAATGAGCGATCTTGCGTTTCTTCCACTAGCCTCTTCTGCAGCTCCTGCAAAAGAAAAATCCATAAGTGATTCAATATAGATTTACTACAAATGATCTCTTTATTAGACTAAACATGTTCCCGTTAAGTAAACGGTTTCCCGGGCAGTTTTAGAATGATCGCCCAGTATCTAACGAGGGTGCCAAGCTTCTATAAACTGAAAAGCTTGGATTTATGAAAAATTATAGCTCTGTAAAATTTTTCGAAGTATATGTATAGAATTAAGCTATATATATATTCGCAGATGTTTTCGACTTACCTCAATTTTATCCTTGAGCCGTTCGGTATGGTCACGAAATTTCTGTATAGTCTGTTCATAGTCGGCAATAGCATAATTCATAGCCTCTATTTTCTTATGGGCATCGAGCAACTGTAAGAAGAAACTGCTGAATCGTTACTTCGCAGCAAATTTGTTTTCAATAATTTATATAAATGCAAGTAATTTAAAGGTTAACCACCTTATTGATTAATAAAAACAACATAATCATTGTAATAGACAGTATATTGACATAAACAATGCTACTTATAAACAACAGTTGTGTCGAGTGTGTTACATGCATAACCTTAGAGTTGGCTATCTCTATTTCTTCTCTAAGATCTTGTTCTGATTCTCGAGCTGTTTCCTGGAGTTCATCATTTAACTCCTGCATCTTCTCCAAATCGTCAACCATTTCCTGAAGCTCACGGACTTTTTCTTCGAGAGACAGATTCTTCTCAGTCAACTTCTCTACCATTTCCTCAGCGCCAAGAGCCGCGTCAATCTGCACAAATTAAATAATTATTACTTTTTTTAATTCAGTTAATTAAAATTGTTATCGATATATAAAACATGAATGTTTCAGTGTACCAATAACGTAAGTAAGAAAGCTGATATGGGTTAAAAACACTATTATTCTTTCTCGCTAATCAAGTCTTGCATAACAAACAACGATCACAACTTCCTGCAAGTTTTAGCCTGAAGTCTGATGCAGATCAATTAAATTTAACCCATTGTAGAGAGAAATTCTACGACAGAAATAAGTCTATCGTTGTTATTCATCTATAATTCAAATCTTATTATTATGAAGTTGTTGGTACTTAGTGTACATACTATAGACAGTTATAGTGTATAATATTTTTCGGACTTGAAACGTTGCCACCATGTTTACAAGGCCATGATCGTATTTATGGTTCATCAATCTTGTGACACACAGTACCTGTTCATGAAGTTCGCCAATCTGCACTTCATATTTGTCCACTTCCTGGTTAAGTTTAGCATTTATTCTTCTCACATCAGAAAGGTCATGCTTCACCTGTTCTAGCTCCTTTGTCATTTCAGACATCTTCATTCTAGGAACGTCAAATCGAATTATTACATCGACATGTAAAATAGTGCACCTCATCTAGGTTAACAGTCTAAAACTTCCCTCAGAAGATTAGAGTGATTTTGGGGGTTCACTTCAAGTGTGCAAATTAACTCAAAGATACTGCATGCAAATCATATGGTCGAAATGAAGCAGACCCTTGTCTACGAAATAAAAAAGATGGTTTTTTTTTGAGCCAACAGTTACTATTAACCATGATAGTTATGGTTTTGTTTTTCAATTCGATCATATCCATATCCACGGACAAACGCTCTACAATATTCAGCGAAACACAAAAATTCCATGAACGAACATCTTTTACACCAGTAAGACAACTAATATTACCAACATATGAGAAATCAATAACCAATAAGAATTCGCAATATGCTAGCGATCTACAGTGCAATTTATTAGCGAGGAATAATTACCTGTCAGTGGCGTTGATATCCCGAAGTTTGACAACAGCATCCTTCAGTTTCAAAATTTGCTGCTCCTGCTGCTTATTCATGAAATCAGCTCCAACCGACTGCGGGCCCTTTTCTTCAAGCTCCGTTTTTAACAACTGGAGTTCAGACTCCGCCATCTCTGCACGCGTTTTCAAATCGTCTAACTCCAATTGTAGTTGTTCAGTCTATAAAGCGCAGCACAAACAAATTCTGTTTCGTTTTATCGAAGTTTTGGGTACCCATTATCCCTGCCAGATACTCAAGCACTTATTTATTGAAAACGATGCATGCAATCCAGTCAGTCGTTAACCATTTAATACCTAACCCTTAACACATATTTCTTTTGTTATCTAGCCTAACGAATAAGCAGTCAGGGTGAAAATATCGGTAATCCAATGCATTGACTACACTGTTCAACGCCAGGCATTGGAACGTGTTAATAGCGCTTAACTTGCAGCAAAATATTGAATCGAATACGACTATTATACAGCGAAAATTAGTAGACTTGTTGCTAATACATTTGCATTTCTTATCTTTGCTTTTTATTAAAAAAAATTCTATTTTTCTAGAATGATTTCAGTATCATTTATTTTTTGATTTAATATTTGCCACCAATTACTATCAAGCCACCAAAAACGTAAGGAATGCAATAAATACAAGGAATATTATTCCTAAGGCTATGTTATCGATGCTTATATTATTATAAGTGTCGATAACATAGTTTTTGTTACGTGAGCGGAAAAGAATGTCAGATGAGTGATAAGTAACTGAATCATTAGATTTTTCCATCTGGTTAAGTATCATATGAGAGGTTTTTATGCTATCACTAGTATTAATGGCACTCCCCAAACGTCAAAAGCGTTGTAGTTCGATAGCCTAATTAAGCCCCTTCTTTAATGCTATTTAGCAAATGGATTTCCAATTCATAAGAAAATGTGCGACCCTTTATTCACGAACGTTCGTTTCGGCCTATTGAAGTTACATGGACCACGCACTAACGGCTGAACAACTCCATAGTAAACGCATGCATAGCAGCAACAACGGCCAGATAGGGTGCCTATTATAACATCATACATGCCCCATACGACGCCTGTTAACCTTTGCTGTTAATCCCCTAGATTTATTGTTTTATTATTTTCGTCACTTAGTCTACTCGAATACAAAGAACGTTTTTCCTTGTTGTCTAAAACATGAAGAGATTTAACGACCTAATTGAAAGCGCTACAGGGAGGAAAACAAACAACCGTCATATATAAGTTTTGTATTATCGCTGATGGTCTCGCTACCATTATGATAATCTGTGGTTAGATCTTAGTATCGAGCTGGCAGACCGTACTGCACTGCGCCGGACTGGGCTAATAGCACGCATTTCGACCCTCGAAAGCAGGGTAACGGGACCCAGATTAGGTCTCGTTGGCCTGCTTTCTTACAATAACCTTGCACCACTTTTCTATGCAAGTGTTATATACAGCCAACGTGAATAGGCAGCCGCAGACGCATAAACCAGCAAAGAGGCGAAACCAGCAGATCTGGTACACACTAAATTTCTTATCATGAGTGTTTCCAACCATATAACTAGCAAAACGAGTGTTCGTCACAGACATCAGTCCAGCAAACGCACAGCCTCAGCATAGCGCTGCAGAAAGCTACATGATGGTCTCGAAAACAGATTTCCATTTGCTCGTATATTTTATATCAACTACACTTGGGGCAGTGCTTTGGCGCCGATGACGAGTCATAACTTCGAGCTGGCATTGTTAATATTGCTAAATTCGTACTACGCAGGGAGAACCTCAACATGCCTCGACGATTGTAGCTAATTAGAAATATCGCGTGAAACGGTGTCTATATGAATGTGCGATAAAATAAATTCAAATCTGTTTTAATATTTATTCATGTTTTTTTTTTAGATTTAGGATTGGGTCGACATTGATGATGAGAACCAGACTCGATGATGCTATAATGTGGTGCTTTTCAAAATCTAAATCTCAATTAAGCGAAGAGTTCTTGTTCAAACTACACTGCTTAATTTTTTTAAACGTACCATCTGTAACGAATATAATAATAAAAATTACATCAAACTTGAACAAGAGAAAAATTAGTATACTTACTGAACATTAGTTTAGTATAAATATTTCCACTCGATTAAATGCAACTGGCAAGATCACAATTTTGAAATAGCATCTTCATATGTATGATATATACTGCGATACGTAAATCCGTAAATGACTGATTTCATAATCTAAGTACACGGAAAACGGTCCAAGCTAACTTAATTAAGGTCAACCTTATAATAAGAATCGCTTCTATATCTGACTTATGTGCCTGTATGGTTCCCTTGAATTACATTTCAGTTGAGCGTGGCGGTATTGCAAGCCGAAAGCTCTTTTCTACTGAAGAAGCTTCTCGAGAATATTAGCTATTCCACCTCATCGAATCTTACTTACCCATATAATCCTTTCTTCTACACAAATACCAACTATCTCCGCCATCTAAGTGGCGAAAATGAACGCAGAAGCGCAACAGTGTAGCACGATTCGCAGCCCTTATTAGCATTCTATATTAACTATGAAGATCCTCATATCATAGGTATAATTATAATAAGTGTTATTTTATGTCTATTTCTTGACCCAGGAAAAATACGCAATAGTCTAACCAAAACCTTTTTTGTATGAATACAGACTTTTTAATGAAAGAAATATTTGCTCCATTTTCAAGCATAATAAAAAACCGATTGCGTAATTAAGTCGGCTAAGTAAACCACTTAAAAATAAACATATTACATTCTATTACATGTGACATGGTACAACCGAGATAGATAATACATAAAATAGCGTTAGTTACAGTGCAGGCTAACACTGAAGTTTATCTAGCTCATCGTGCTATCGATTTTTGCGTAGATGGTCTGTTATTCAACTCCGCAGTATCTACGAAATTGTTTATAACAAGGCAGTGAAGCCAATGATAGCTTTGCATAACTAATGTTAATTGTCGTTTACTCTGCTGTGACATTGTCTACTCTCATATAAATTGAAATGTGTGAAATTTGACAAATCAGTAGAAAATCTAATAAAAGCCGACTCTTTAAAAAAACATAAGCCGTATTTGACCCTTATGAAATCACCAGATGTCATAGGTACACTGCTTGTGTAGCTATGACTATTATGTCAATTAAAAAAGCTTTTTTCATTCCTTTTGTTTTCTATGACGGATCTATATGTGTGCTGTTTGCGCTGCTAACTACCTTTTCTTCCGCCATTTCCTTGTCAAGTGTGGCCATTTCAATAGCTTCACTGACGTCACTCATTTCTTCCGCATGTCGATTCTTCTCTTCGATGGCATCTTGTGCCTCTTTACGGGCCTATTACGTTGATACAAATATGAGGTTAACAAAAACAACAAATCGGTTGCCACATTTTAAACATCGTGCGGAATTGCGATTATACTTGGAACATAACCATGTGTTATAAAAATATAATTTCATCTACTGTTAATACACTCTGTAACCGTAATCCGCAAAACAGGGGTCCATGGCACAACAAGCCATAAGCCCAGTTCGGGATGGCAGTCATGAGATATTTCAACTCCATTAAACAGCAACGCTCACAACTATCACTAAGCTTCTGGTTAATACATGTTAAAAAAAAACTATACAATAAGTTCATTAAAATTAAACATACCCAACGGCTACCCAACTGGGAGCAATATCTACTACTTTTTTTTAACTATAAAATTCTCGACTTCAGTTCCTGTTTTTCGTATTTATTTATCATTTGTCTTACAGTACGATAAACACAAGCGTGCGAACACACAATCCTAAGTTTAACATTAAAGCTTGAAGCGGGATTATTAATACCTGAGCTAGTTGTTTCTGTAGATCAGCCTGACTTTCCGTAATTTTGGCTTTGTATTCAAGAAGTTGCTCCAGCTGAATCTTGGTTTTTTCAAATTCACGTATCTTTTCCCGGTCTTCCCCGCGTTTGGCCATAATCGTCTCTAGTTTCTCCTGCAAATCCTTCACCTCTGCTTTTAGATCATCAATTTCTTTGTCCTTCTTCATTACTGCAACTCGTGCCGAAGTCAATTCTCCTTCCATTTGAACCGCCGTAGTTGAGGTTACAGACGTTATTGATGCAGATAACTCGTCGAGAGATTTTTCTGACTGAAGCAGGCATTTGTACGAAAACTGGTTAATATAGTATTCAAGTTTCAAAATTCAGTTGGGTATACAGAACAAGCTAAATTAATTAGTCTTTGTTGACGAAAACTCCGTATTGAAACGACATATGCAATAGTCATATGCATAATTGTGCTAATTTTCACTTCAGAGTTATGTCGACTTCAGAGAAACCGATTCCCTACTGATAGCATCTGCAAGGAATCGGTTTCTGCATTTATTCCTAAAATCGAAAATTTCTAAAGTTATCGTACTTCCAACTAATGCCAGTGGGGTCACACGGTTTCAAACAGTTTTACGCATATCTCAATAATTCTTACCTACAATGGGTGCTATTGCAAAATCAATCGATTACAATACAGATAATAAAAGATTTGTATCACCAAGATACTTACAGCGGCGACAGACAAGGTGCTGGCCGTACGGCTAGGTGCATTAACGGTTCCGGTTGAAAGACGACCCGCAGCTCCTAACGACGTCTTACGTGTGGCAGACGACGTTGCTGGGGGCTTCAATTTGCTTCTGCCGGGGGGTGCCATTGACGCCCGTGGACCACTGGACGAGCCTGAGGAGCCAATTGAGGTGCGGGAAGCGGACATATCCTCTAGAAGTTTTAGCTGGGACTGGCGGAGGAAGATTCCTATCAATACACACAAAAAGGTTTCAATCAGAAGAAATGTCTCAACTTTGGATCAAAGCAAATTTCTGTGGTAGAGTCTTGCTACGCGGGATTATTATACAAATGAAATACTTGCCGGTAAAGCTTCCTTTGTACCATTTTGCACACTCCATTTGAAGTTACAAGTATTATGCTGAATAAATGTTAAAATTAAGGTTGAATAATCTTTAGATTTAGACAGTAGCACTATTAAGGTCTTATCATTTTGTCAATATACCTGATCATAACATGTGTAATATTAAACTGTAACTGACAGAGGGAATCGCGTTGTACGCACCGCAATTATCAGAGCAGCTAAAGTAGGATTTCCCCTGCACGGTCCCATTATTTTTTCCTTTAGGTTCGTCGAGAATGACTCCGACCCATTTTCCTGAGGAAAATTCTGTCAACCCCACGAAGGCCACTTTTCCGGCAACATCTTTGCCGACTAACTCAACGCGCTCACCAATGCGAAGTGATCGTTCCGTCATCTGTCACCGTTGTTAAAACAAGCAAATTATTAGCGAATGTATGCGAACTCCAAGTGATTAAAATACAAGACAACCACTGATTATTGACTGAGTTTCAGTTTAGAAGTTTTAACTTAAATTATTGCAAAAATTATTCTAAAGAAACTAGAAAACTGCACAAAACTACTACAGTAATTGGACCGTCAGTATCATATTATCATAATATCATTACAGAAAAATACAAAAGTTAGGTTGAGATACTAAAAAACCATAAAGTAATTTAAAATTTTTCCTCGTGATACTGTGTAGATGCAAGTGCTCATTCTTATCGTTATTTTTATTACTCAGAAATTGGAAGTGCTATTGCAAAAATTATTCTAAAAAAACTAGAAAAATGCACAAAACTACTACAGTGATTGGACCATCAGTATTATATTATCATAACATCATTACAGAAAAATACAAGTTAGGTTGAGATACTAAAAAACCATAAAGCAATTTAAAATGTTTCCTTGTGACATCGTGTAGGAGCAACTGCTCGTTCTTATCGTTACTTTTATTACTCAGATATTGAAAATGCGTTAGATTAAAAAAAAGGTTTTAGTGTAATAAAATTTACAAAACTTTTAGAATCATCTTGAAAATGAGTGGAAGAGCTAGTATCTACCAAATCAGAAATCTTCTTGCTCAAAAGATCTATTACTGATTACTCAATACCAATTTGCTTTTTCTAACGAAAATTTTAAGTTACAGGTGAAACCGTTCATATCGGGTATATTCCCATTCGCAGTCGGCAATATCAAATTGTTTTATTCTACATGTTTTTTTGGTTAAAGGTGTTGGAATTCGGACAACTTTCTGACACATCACCTTACTCAAATCGTTTATCTTTTTTGCGGGCGTGTATCCGTTTCGCATTTCTAAGCCGGTCAATAATTTGACTCCTTAGACCCTAAATAAGTTGACTCAATTTTTAGCTGCTCAATAAAAATTCGCTTCTATTATTATATTCCATAGGTTGTTTTTAGTATGCCCACCTTTGAACATTTTCTTTTTTTATCGTATTGTAGCTGTTACATGTGTTTTTGACAAATAAGATCCCAGAATCATTATCTAATTATTTTAACTGTATAAATACAAAGCTGCACTTATAAATCAGAAATATATTTACAACATCTCTAGAGAATAGAACGATTACATGAAACGTTTAGTGTATTCTGTTACTATTTCAATGCATAGTTACATGGGAGATCTGTTGTTGTAAGCTATGATATTAAAGACCGCTGGTTCGAATCCAGCCCTGCAGTACATCTATCGTGCATCTGCTGTGAAGGTAAAAATTATAGTTAAACTTGTTAGTATTACATAATGAACCTGTATAGACTCCGATCATAACAAGTTTCTACAGGTGATAAATATGGATTTTATATTGTATATTTAGCAAAAAGTCCCAGTTTGGCTCACTCTTAGCAAACAGTGAATTCGTTCCCTGACCAAGCATATACTATACATGAGAGTCAACTTGCCTTTGCCAGACTGTTCTAGTTGACGACGGCAGAACGTGGTCGAAGGTCCTCACACAGATAATCCAAAAAATGCAAAGGAAGTTAGTTGATGCTGACAAAAAACATTTGGCACTTTTCTCTTCCGTTCGAAAAAAACTTCACTTTGTCTTCCAATCTCTGCATATGCGTATCTCTGTGTCTTTGGTGTACCATTATATCGATCGACCCAGCTGCGGAATCAATATTATTGTCTCAACTAATGTCGTCTGCTAGCAGTGAAATGATCATCTGACAGTTCTGGTGCTCCTGTCATCTTAATCAAAACATACAAACAAAACCATTAACTCATTCTGATCTGTTCGATCCACAAAAACATGCCAACGCTATTCATTTGTTTTGCTATTAATGCACTTAGTCCGCTTGGCTCCGAAAAGCTTCTTTAAACTGTGAGCTCATAAGCGATTTTGAATTTTCCCGCGCAATTTTAGCACGCCAATCTTCACGTCAACTTCCGCTGCTTCTAGAAGAGCTCAGGCTGTCGTAAGTTTAGTGTAGCAGCAGATGCGGCTGCTGCGAGCACAGTTTGATACGACCGAGCGACCTACCGACTGCTGCTACGGCTGCTGTTGTAGGGGTGCCAGTATTGCTGTGCTGCATCATTGTCCCGTAACGTCTGGTGACGCTCATTTTGGCCCGTTGCAATCTATTAGTTATCGAGCAGTTGGCTCGTCAGTCGTAATCGCAGAAGCGCTTTCCAACGCAGTCGACTGTCCTGCAGGTGCTTGTCACGGAACCGTGGAGCCGCCGGGCGCCAACACGATCCTAGTGGAGACGCCATTCTCGAAGTTTCGTAGGTGAGAGTCTGTATGTCATTGTTTTTGTTCAGCATCTATCTAAACTATATATATGACTGGTTTGATTCGCACCCAGTCAATGGCAAGATGGCTCGGCTATGTATAGGCCTTAAAAGGGGATAGTCCGATGTGGCCGTACCAGTTCTAACAGGCAGGTATATAGTTGGATAACACTCATTTTGTGTATTGTCTGCTTTTCATATGTTTTGAGTTTAGATATAGGTAGATATATAGACGTGATGTGCATGTTATATGCACTATGTAATTGTATTCCCGCTGTGTAATATATATATATATATGAGTTGAGAAGATTTAATCTGCTGTGGACCACGTTCGATTGTATCAGATGCAGACCTGTGAGACGAATGTGGTCGCTCTGCATCGTCTCGCAATTCAAAAAAATCGATCTATATTTTACAAAACAATAATATAATTTACAATATATAGCGGTGATCATGATGATCACCCTAGTCAAGAGCAAGAAGACAATGGTTGTCATATCACCATCGTTGACTCGGCGTTGCCGACAACGATAATATATGGGTTAGTATTGACACGACTATACACACACGAAATTGTATTATCCGATTGTACAGTCTAGTTGCACAGGGCGAGTTGTATACAGAGGGTGGTTTTGAAATATTAATTTTCTACTGACTGTCAAGTTAGGCAAAACAAGCAACACACAGACAAACAACCCAGAAGACAAATCCTACACGAACACCTGCTACAAAAAACACATCAACCACGTCACCAAAACCAACCAAAGGGAAGGAAATGTGTTAGTTTGAGGTTGACTGTTCTCACACGAAGCGTGCGAGGCGGTAATGATACCTTAGAGGTAACTTTGAAACATTTCTCAGCAGTTTGTTTGAGTGATCGATCGCCGGCCCTGGTCGCTGGTCCATCCCATAATGACGCACTCATCAAAGAGCTCGAGTCATCGGCGGAGAAGGTCTTCTTCAGCGTCCTACCGACGGAAACGACGGTGCAGGGAGCGTTCACGCCAGTTCGCTGATCACAGGGCGGGTAGCAGTAAGGGTGACCGTTCGCGTTCCCGGTCCAGATCGCGATCTCGTTCACCGCTCAGCCGGACTCCGATCCAGGACGACAGCGATGGACATCTGATCTACCACGTCGGCGATGTCATCCGGAAACGCTACACAATCTTGGCCACGCTCGGTGAAGGAACCTTCGGTAAGGTCGTACAGGTATTCGACGAGCAAACAAAAGAAAAGCTCGCCCTGAAGATTATCAAGAACGTCGACAAATATCGGGACGCCGCTAAGCTCGAGATCAACGTACTGGAGACGCTTAACCGTCAGGACGACGCGATTGGCCAGAAGCTCTGCGTTCGTATGCTCGACTGGTTCAACTATCATGGACACATGTGCATCGCGTTCGAGATGCTAGGCCTCTCCGTATTCGACTTTCTCAAGGATAATAACTACCATCCCTACCCACTGGAACAGGTTCGCCATATCGGTTACCAACTGATTCTGTCCGTTTTACATCTACATCGCAATAAGCTGACGCATACTGACCTAAAGCCGGAGAATATCCTCTTCGTCCGTTCCGATTTTGACGTTCTATACAACGAAAGGAAAAAGCGTGAGACGCGCCGTGTACGAGATACATCGATTAAGCTAATTGACTTCGGTTCGGCAACTTTCGACCATGAACACCATTCGACGATTGTTTCAACGCGCCACTATCGGGCGCCTGAGGTCATCCTCGAGTTGGGCTGGAATCAATCGTGTGATATCTGGTCGATTGGCTGCATTCTTTTCGAGCTGTATTTAGGCATAACACTTTTTCAGACGCATGATAACCGTGAACACCTGGCCATGATGGAACGTATTCTCGGTCCGATACCGTCGAAGATGTCGAAACGAACTAAGACCAAGTATTTCTACCACGGACGGTTAGACTGGGACGAGAAGTCGTCTGCGGGCCGTTATGTACGAAATCATTGTAAACCTTTGCATCGGTACGCAACCACCGGTGATGAAGAGGTTCGTGACCTGTTCGACCTCATCCGCAAAATGCTTGCTTATGATCCGAAGGAGCGGCTGTCACTGAGACGAGCCCTTGACCATCCGTTTTTCGAAGCACTTGACAATCGTTACCGAATTCACGGTAGCTGCGGCATCGGCACGGGTAGTGGTGGTTCGAAACGTTCAGCCGATGAAGACTCGGCGGCGATTCGGGACTGCAGTAGCGCTCGACGTTCCTCGAGCCAAGGGCGTGCGAGCAAACGGCGGAGAAGTCTTTCCAGATGATTGTTGCTTACTCCACTTCCCATTTGGTTTATCTATTGACACGTTTACCTTAAAAGATTTCCGATTTTTATGTTTAGAGCCGCAAAAAGGCGAACGTACGATCTGTGCCAGATCGTACAAGCATCACCGTTGCGGGATCCGCTGCTTTCGTAGAAGCAACTGTGCCCACGACAACTATCCGTAATTTTTTTTCTAGCAAATAAGTTAACACAGTGATGACAACAATAATGATCGATCATTATGCACTAGCAGGTCGTGAAAGAAGCCAAACAACAAGTAAAATAGTATAGATCGCTGCTATGCACACACCCGTGATAGGCGTTCGTCCGGCGCATGTATTTGTAATGGGGGACTCCCTTAATAGAACATGTCTGGTTATTAAGATTAATAAACTAATTTAAAACAAACTGAATAGGCAAAGCAGAGAACAGACTAGGTCCTAAAGTTGTTGGTATTTATTGGCGCTGAACAAATGCTCCCTTTTCAGTAACTCGCCCTAGACTCGATTGTTTTTCTGGACTCTTCCTAACGTATGTGCGTAGCTGTTTTTTTCATGACTATTACCGAGGTATAATGATTGTCAGTTGTCATTCTAAGTCGTGCACGTAGTTTTTCAATTCGACCTCCTATAGTTACAATAATTAAAATTACTACAGATATTTTGAGCATTCTTTTTGACGAAAATTTTCTTCGTTAACTCTTAAAAACTAATTGCTTTATTCGTCATTCATTTATGAAACTCAGTTCCATTGAAGGGCGGGGGAGGGTTATTAAGTGGAAACGGACCTCTATGGGAAGAGGAATAGCAAGACGTAATAGAATGTTGATAGGTTACAGAGGGGACTTGTCTAGCGACGACAAAACGAACGCTAATGCGCTGTTACTAAATGCTGATCAGCCTAAGAAGCTTTTTCTACAGAATCTTTAGTGATTTATCGAACGATGACAAATTAGCCTGTGTGATGAACATTGTTGAGGGTAGCCGTAACGCGATATCCGTATCGTCGTATATGCTAGTAGTAATTTCGGCTGTACATTCGGCAGAGGAAACAACACTAGTGGGTGTACGTATTAGAATTCGGGCAGCAAATATAGTATAGATATACTATCTAGCTGAGATGGTACCCGGGAAGCGTGTACCTCTTTGGAGAGGGCTATTATACCTACGAACAGATGTGAGCGGCGGAGTACCTATTATTGAACTAACCACAAAAATACAGAATGGAAGTGGTTGTATTAGTATAGACTTAAGAACATTAAGTTAACAAAAGGGAATCTAATACACCTTTTTTGAGAGAATCATCCTTTTAGAGGTTGTGCCATGAGTTGGTTAGTAGCGCTACCAGTAGAAAAGCAAGACAACTGAGAAAAAAGTTGAACATTAGAAAAACAAGGTTTCGTATTAGGAAAACGGGGAAAAAAGATATCTTCAACGAAATCTATTGTTAGCGAAGATTCGTATGGCCTCTCGTGTAACCGCCGACACATCTCAATGTTGTAAATACAACTATATATGAGTTCGCAATTGCATCATTAGTATTATTCTAACGATAATTAGCAATGAGAGATGAAAAAGTGGGTGTCCAACGAGGTGTCGACAGTCGGTGTATCGGGTCTATTATTTGCAAGTGTGAATTTTCAGGTAATGAAAACCAGTCGCGGACCAAGAAATCAACGAAATTAACTATACATTATCAGCTACGAACTTTGTAAACAAAAAATGATCGAGTTGCAAGCAAATTTAGGAGAAATTACTTATGATAACATTGATACGTAGAATTATTCTCGATGCTGACAAGCCGATGTTCTGTTAATGAGCATTGTTCAATAATTGTGGCAATAACGTTGTATGTTATGTATACAAATAGAAAGTGAATTATGAAAAATATATTAAAAATCATTTGAATTTAGGAGAGAATTAGCATTTTATGACTTGCGATTCTTTCAGAAATCAGGCGGCGCGGGGGGGAATACGCGAAAAGTCCAGGTCCGCGCGTTCCTCGGTGAACACTCATAAATCATTCAGTCACTAATCCACCTATTATTCACGCCTATATGCGTATACATGTAAACACACATACACTCACGCTCACCTTACTCATATTGTTACATGAAATAGGCGAACTTTGGGTAGGTTTGTTTTATAGATTATGCATTCTTCATAACGTAATCAAAGACATACATACGATATAAACATAGACGTTCAATAATATAAGTGGTAGATTTTTACTCTTTATTTGCGCTTTAAAAATACGAAAAAATCCCGAAAAGTGAGAAAGAGAAAAAATATTTAACAACGTAAAACAAATATTTCGAAAGTTACGAAAATTGCGTCATTAATTTACAAATGAGCTTTGTTGCACAGACATTGCCAGAATAGTAAACAATATCAATTTAAACTAAGCCCATTTTATCACTATGTTCTAACATACGACATTTGTTTAGGTAATAGGCACACATAGACAATTATGTTTATTAAGTAGAATGGCCTTAAATGTGATCGCTGTTATCAATATCATTAACCCCCTGCCATTGACCTATGTGGGCGGGTCCCTGTGTGTATGGATGGGCGTGTGAACATGTAGCTTGTAAATTTTGATCAGGATAGTGTTAGTGGAAGTACATGATATCATCAATTGTAATATAAGTGTGTATATAAAGACACTTTGCTTTAAAATAAAGCATATTAGGGCTCTTGCTAAATAGAATGTGCTTTGGCGTTTTCTGCGTCGACGCCATTTGGGTTAAAGGGACAGATTCGCTTGGCAGTTTACTTATGCATAACAAAATCGGACCTTTATCACTATTGTGATTAAATAGAATAATCTCTTGCGAATAGGCCTGTCACCGCGAACTTAACCGAAAAATCGGTGTTAACCGCTGGCGAATTTTTTGTCTCGAATTTGTATTTCAGTAGAGTCATTCGAAATGTCCTAAGTTTTTTGCGAACAGGCAGTATAATTGTATTAATGGCTGAAGTTCGCCTTTCGTGCAAAGCCTGTCGAAGGTATCTCGTTTAAAACGCTTTCCATTTGATATATTTATGCATTCATAGTGTAAGGAGTGCGTAGTTATTGTTTCACAAGTCATAAGGCACGACTACTCAGATGAACCTATTTCTCAAAACTAAAAAAAATTTCCAAACATGCCATTTGGGCTGAAAGAAATAATTGGTAGAAATATGCTAAGGAAACATCCCTGCGGCAAGTTAAATCTTTACCAGCACGAATAAATAGTGTGTGCACTCCTATATATAACAAACTATATAACAAAAATAGTTGCCACTATTGATCATGAGACGTAAGACTGGCTATTTTAAGGTTGACGTGATAGAAATAGACATGTGTTGGTTGTTGCATCGCTATGTCTTCAATCAGACATTTTTTTTGGCACCACCACTATTATTATTGTTAATATAGTTATTTGTACTCAATCGTTGGACACCACAACTACTACTTTCACACACATACCCTGTATCGTGAAAAACTAGCTAGCCAAAAGTGCTATTGCTGCCGAATTTTGTGTATAAAAATGCAATACGATAAAGGGTCTGATTTTACAACGAAGCGAAGCAGAGGGGACATCTGATCGACAATGATATTTTAAACGTTATCAGTCATTTTATCTTCTGAATTTATCGCAATGACAGCGATCGATCGATGTTGGCCTTTGCGGTGTGCATTATGTATTGGTACCATGAAGTACGCAAACGACACAGACCAGTAGTTTTGGATATTTGGCTCGTCTTCACAGCGAATAGTATTACACCAATAATGGGTGATATAAATTTAGGACATCAGAGCGTTATAATAGTAAGCTGTGGATAACATCATGGTGAAGATCTGGTAAAATTTTATAAGATAAGTTTTACTCGACGCATAAAAAATTGCCATAGTGAAATGGATTGAAAGGCACGTGCCCTTAGTGTAGGACCACGACAAGCAAACGATGAAAACGGAAGCTGGAATTGTACTATAAATGTAATATTATCAGCACTTCTTAATATCAGCTAGGCTGGGGGTGTCAGACAGATTATGGTGAGTATGGCAGAAATAATAAATTCATTGTACTTTACAATCTGGTAAGTTTTTATTTTTTAACACGTTTGAATTCAGTGTGTCTACCAGTTATTCGTATATGGTTGTGCTCATGTTTCGTTGTTGTTAAATAAAAAATGATATGCGAATTAAGACCTTACATTAATTGAACACTTTATAGTCTAAAACAAAACTGTTTCCAGAATGCACCGAGATGCTTCTCTCATTCAAAAGCTTATAGATCATAAAATGTACCACTTTATATTAAAATTTGCGAGATCACTTTAAAAAAATTAACTGAAGGTAAGCTATTCCAAATTTTCGAATTTTCACGTCAGATCCGTGGTGATGCGTGCTAGGATATTTTAGTTTATACTTCAAAATTCAGGATCAACGATATGCATAGAGAAACATCGTTTCTACGAATGTTCAGAGAATTGGTTTAGAATTTCTCGTCATCTAGTACTAGCTTTTTGCCACGGTGGGCAAATTTCATTGAGTAAAATCGAACTTTAGTCCTGTTCAAAATTATGGATACTAGACATTCAACGACATATTGCTCAAATAGGAAATCCCAATGATGTGCCGTGCAGTGCCGTGATAATCGTGGTGCTTTCCGCATTTAGCGGGTAGTTTTTCGTCTGCTTTGGTAAGGCCTTCGTCGGTGAAGCCTTCGCTGAAATAAAGGTGAGATCAGCAGCTGGTGAAAATCCGCGCTGCCGGTTCATTAAGGTATCTTGGTCATACAAGAAGAAATTGTAGTTTATTTAAAACGTTAATTACTTCACAATGTTCAGCCAGATAATTATCGCCAAACTAAACGTTTATTTATTCAAGAACATTTATTTGAGAAGACTATTGTTTAAACTCAAAAGACTCTCATGTACACCTCTTAGTAGTTCTATTTTCATTGGTTTTCAATTTCGCTTTAATATGTTATTTGACAATCCCCAAACTCTGTACCAAAAGGTACCACGAATGAAACGATAAAGTTGACGTATTGATGTACGTCTTCCTACCGAAACCACCAATTTGAGTCTTTCCTATAAACCTTAGTACTAATAATAACAACGTGGTGAGTATAATTAAAGATATTTAGGATAAATCTATTACGTAAGTTTTAGAACCACATTACCAATGCAATCTGAACAAACTATTAGAACATAAGATTCTTTTTCTTATATATAATTAAATATAAATAATTAAAATATCCTACAATATAGAAAAAATAAGAATATCCTAAAAAATAATAAAAATTAATGCCCCAACGTTTGTCATGAATGTGTGTCATCGATGGGCTTTAACCAGCGCCCTTTGATCAAGTATGTCAATGGTTTAGCCACAGGGAATAGATATATTAGGATCCAAGTTAAAAGAAGAGTGAAAATATTTCAGCGATGCATATACGTGTCATGGAGTTTGTGGAGTAACTGAGGTCGAACATGGTCGTCTTATATGTCTGTTACATGGTAATGATATTACTTCAACAATAAAACAACACAATGCGTGCGCATTCGATTAGTTACAAACAAAATCAGCTGCAACAGAATTGTTACAAATTACGCTAGAAGATTCTAAATTCTTTCTAAAATTAAAAAAAAATCTAAAAAAATATATTTTCTTTAAATCAAAACTAAGACTGGCTAAGCAATGAAGACAACAGATTATATGAACAATTATAGATGTCAATTTTCATACTAAAGAAAATGAAAAAATATTGTCCATTCTTAAATCCGAAGTGGAGTTGAGGCGCTTGAAATTATGCGTAAGCGAAATCAGATTTTTGCCGTCGCGAGCGTATGAATTAATTCGACGAAATGTTTTCCCTCGTTTAAATTTAATGGTATATGCAAAAAATTGCAATCCGTTACCAGTTTTCAAAGTAATTGAAGCAAGCTTCTTAATTCAGAGAGCAAGAGATACGGTATGAAGCACGAGCCAGTTCCTTACATTTGTAAATCTTTTTAAAATTGGAATAGTTTACTTTAACTCGACGAAATGAATGCGTAAACACGTTTACGTAAAGTACATTTTCGTTGCGATAAATCGGATAAATTTATGCATAAGGTAACCAGTGTTAGAAAGCAAATGTGACAAGCTTCATGGAAATACAAGGCACTGCGTTGTTGATAAAAATAGAGCACAGGTATATGTTCGGAGGCCAACAATAGCTCGCAACAACTGTAAAGCATGTCTTTGCTTTTGTAAAACACGACATTGGACGGCTTAACTTAACTTAAATTTAAATTATTCGAAGCACAGTCTGGAATATAGCCCACTTGCCAAAAAAACTGACTGCTAATGCACCGCAACTGTATTTTTCAGCTTCGCTTAATGTACATCTCTCTATATACTCTAGTCTAATGAATTTAGTTCGCGATAGTTAACGCTTATCGTTCGGCACGTTCGTATGGCCTTCAATAATTAAAGCATTCACCCAAGAACACACGGTCAACGTTTATTCAGGAAAAATTATTTATTCGAATTGGTACATTATCGTGATCAACATACACAAACAAAAACATTTTACGAATAATATTACATCGATTTGGTAATACTTCGGACAAAGCTGATGCGTTTTCTGATTTTTATATGCTGTAACGTAACACATTATACACCTGTTTCCCTAAAGGTACTTCACCGTCAAAGTAATAAGCGCTAGAAGAAACGCACTCGCAAAAAATTTACAACCGGCGCTTCCCTAAAATATGAATAAAAGATAAAGCAAAAAGAGTGCACAAAATTATTGATCACTACAATGATAAAAGTTGCACCGCGATACCACGCAGGTGTCAACGATCTCATCGTTCATATGCGATACTCAACAACAGGTCATTGGACAACAAGCAGACATTACACCTATGTTTGCGTTCGTTTGAACTTCGAAAATTAACTTATCCAACGACTGAACTACTTGTCTGCATTCGCTTTTCGCTTTTTCGCTAACAACCGATTCCTCGTTTTGTTTTTCATCTATGTTTGTTTACGTCACTCCAAGAATATAAGAACGTCAGAAAAAACCGTCATTTTTTTCTCAGCTGTTTTTCGTTTCCAACTATCATCCAGAAACCGGCATCTTGTATTTCGTCGGATCTCGTTTGCTTCCCTTTGTATTTCAATAGCTTTTTTTCTTGCTAGGCCATTTCTTAGACTGATGTCACAAGCCGTCTAGGGTTATATTATGTATATAATAATGGTTTCATCACGAACATCATATTTTTATTAGTGTATTACTGTGAGCTACTAGGAGAAGATCTGGGGACAGTTGAATGCCCCCACTCGGTATAACGGGTTATATAATCCACTAGATCGATAGTTTTCTAGCATAATTATTTGGCCGTGTCGGTGTCAGTCAGTAAACTACCATGAAAACGCTAGTACCGACGATCATTCTCAGGTGATCTGAAGCAATGCAGAGTCAGTTTAAGGAGCACCAATTTTCCCCAAGGGACCAAGAAGCAAATTGTGGCCGACCGCGTATGTTTAATGCTTCGAGATAACTGCCGTCCACTGAGTACGACGTTTGATCGACGCCAACATTTGTTACTGTTTTTATTAGCAGTGACTAATGTTCTGTATCCTCACGTTTCCGCCGCAATCGTTTTCTAATTCGAATCGTTGCCAAGAGAATTGATGTCGTCTTCATCGAGTTCTACGCATGCTTCGCCGAAGTTGAAAACTCGCCTGCGCAGCTGTCGCATGTATTGTTGTCGTTTCAGATAGATTTTCACAGCTCCCTTGGTCAGGATGAACGCAAGACCACCCTAAATGTAGTAAAAAAGCAACGGGAAACCGAAATAAATTAGGACGTTAGTAATGCTTTTTAATATTACCGCGACGTTACCAAAAGTAGTAGTTCCTTCCAATCATCTTCTAAACAATAGCCGTATTACGCTAACGATAAGTCTCATACGTTATTGATATACAAAAATCTAATAAGAACTGCTAATCAGGCTCGTTTAAAAGTCAAATTAGCGCTCGTTAGTGATACCTGTTTATGTATTTTTGTATAAATATTTATACCCGACGTATATGCCTTGCCTTCGATTTTGGATATTGTTGATCGCGGTTTTACGTTTCTGGAACTGAAATTTCGAGAGGATTTCTGCTTTTTCTCCAACTCCACGATATGTCTATACCAATCTATACATGGCCAACCATCTGTTTGAAAATACAGCTTTACATTTTCAAATATGTAGTCCTACATACACGCTTCTGTGAACTTTTCCGCTGACTCTATAGATAACAGGTTCCAAATGCAAATCCCAACAGTTATATAATGCTTATTATTCCCAACACGATGCTTGTTTATTGATCACACTTTTTCTAAAAAATGCTATCAATGACAGTAAAACACTGCAAAAAGATGTATCACAAGATAACATATATCTCTCCACCCTTTTATGGTGTGAACAATTTTTTTATGAAGTGAAAACACAAGTTTCGAATGATGCCTTATTTGCTAGAACCACCCGGTATTGTTTTCTTCCGAAAAGTAATCAGCTAGTCAAGGTCACGCGTGTAGTTCACATATCAAACACCAGCCATAAACGATTGGCCCTCTTTGCAAACGTCGAACCGCAACGGTAGCTGCCCAAGGAAGGCAGTCTGAACGCTTCTGAGTGACTAGGTTACACGGTTGTACTCCGCTTTCGCTCTAACAGTCAATATAAGTTTATATTTATAAATGGTGATTGCCTGGAAAAGATTTGGAAAAGACTTTGCCCCGCCATCTCACTTGATGGAATGAGGCAGCACATAGGAAATTATAGAATTCCCTGACACTATCTATTGCCCTTGTTTCTCCCCGCCGACGCACGTTTTCACGTCACCTGCGGATCCGCATGGGCTTTGGCCTATACCTACAAATAACGTCGCGACTTTATTGTATCGACTGCCTGAGCAATATTTTGAAGTGAGCTCAAGCTAACGATTATAACGTCAAACATGGACGAGTTGTTACAGCTGACTCATTAGCACGATAATTATTACGTACGAACTGCAAAAAAAGGATACAAATGTGCGCCTAAAACTATAGCACACTTCTATCTACAGGCAGTTACGGCAAGTACTTTTCGCTATAAAAGCATTGCCTGTATATGTTCTACATGCGTTACTTGCTAAATAAGCAGGTGCTTATTTATACTATTTATTAAAAATTTAAATAATTTGTATTAAAAACTCCTTAATGATAACAAAGAATAAAAGCACTATTAACTAAGAAGCATTGCCTAAAAAACTAACACACTGAGCATTAGGAACCATTAACCTCGGACAGGTACAACGATGAGAATACGTTTTGTACTCTACGATAGAGTACAAAACTTAGAATGAGTTTCTGAATTTTTGTTCTCTGAGTTCATCGATAAACTCAGGGAATAGAGATTGCATTTGTTCACAAGTGCAATTTCGATTACACTTAAAAATGCCCCACGTAGATCTATCGAAGGACTTCATAGATACGTTAAAACGCTGAGTCTTTAATTCGAATTTTAAGATCTTAAAGTTCTTCTCGACTAATCTTTTGCTCGGCAGCTGTGGCTATGCACGAAAGACTTCACTGGTTTATTAATTTTTTTGTTCTGGTTGATTCATCTCGCCAACTGGCTTTGCTTAACCACATGGCTATCACACAAGGCGCAGTTTCTCGGCCGATTCGCAGAAGCCTCACATAATGAAGTATGCAATTACAAATCAATTGTACTGACTAAATATACGTACAATAACACGAATTTTGAAATCACTGTTAAAGTGCATTGTTTGGACGTACAGCATTATGTTTCTTTATAGCAAACACGACTTTGCACATAAGCTAACTTAGTAAAGCCCAGTTAAGCTACGAATAAAACGTGATTGTTTTGAGATCACTTCAACTGAGATCACCATAGCTTTTCCAAATCAATAAGCTAAAATACTATTTTTACATATAAATTATCCCATCGAAGTCCTTTGGAGCCTACGAAACACAACTTACCAAACTAGTGATGACAACTACACCTGAAATTATTACCTTAGCGAATTGAGCAATTCATCTAGGGAATACCGTAGTAATCAGTTGAACTTCATCACAATAATACTGCTACATAATGGTGAGCACGCATCCTTAATAGGAAAACATAGTGGACGCGCAGACGTTTTAGTGGTTATCTAGAAAACACTTTCACCATTTCCATACATAAAGGCTGACAAGCCACTCACTGGCCACGAGATAACACCGTTGTTGTCAACTTTTTAACTACATTTATTTTCTGTTATATTTCTAACTTGGATTTACAATTCATTTGATAATAATCATCATCCATACACGGTCACTGTTTGCTATCAACTAAACGACTTTATACTTGCTGAGAGTTTTTCTCCGGAAATTCTTCTTTCAACTTGTCAAGATCCTTCAGCGACATTGTTGCACTGCCCCTCTTTGCGGGCTTTGGCTGACTCTCATGGGGTTTCCACCCTATGAACGATAAAATGTGAAATGTTGCCTGAATATTGCCTTTCTCGTTTCCATACATCTCTTTGTATTTTGCCTCAGCTAACTTCTGCGTTCGCCGATGCAAGTGCGTCTTTCGTTTCCACACGCAGTTATTCTCTGCCATTCCTTTGAGATCTGCCATCAGCTCACGCAATCCGGGATAGCCGACAACAATGCTATCAGAATCAAGGGTGAGCATTCTGTACCCAGCGTTTCGCAGAAGACCGCCTAGATCCGTGGGTTCGATAAACGGCGAAACATGAATGCCAAACCCGCCTTCGAGTTCTGTTTCCGCTACTTGGAGGGCACTCCGTAACTCAAACAGAGTGTCGTTCCCGCACAAGCTTCCAAGAAAGACGCCATCTGGCTTAAGTACGTCGTATACGCTACGGAAAAGCCCGGGTAAATTATTAACCCAATGCAAACTTAGGCTTGATACCACCGCATCAACAGAATTACTGGCAAAAGGTAGTGGTTGCTCCTCGTCTACAACACGCCGACTCACCTAGAAATTTGTTCTGTTATTAAGCTTTCATTTCTTGTTTACTTCTGCAATACGTAAACGCTGAATGAGCAGGAAACATCTGCTTATGTCATAAAGAATATATTATGAAAATGGGTAAGAGCCTACTAAAACTAAGGCTTCTTATGATTGTATATAATATATATCCATGTGAATGAAATAGTGTTGACAGAATGCAGTCCTACATACCTTAAGACGGTCGTTACCTCGTGCTGCCGCTACAATTTTTTGCGACATGTCGCATAGGATATACTCATCAGCAACGTTTTCCATAAGATGCTGTGCAATGTAACCCCTACCGCAGCCCAACTCCACTATTACATTGAGTTTACGTTTGATGTCAAATAATCGATCAGAGTTCCGGTAGCCAACTTCTTCGCGTAGATAATCATACTTTTCAGCTTCAGGGTTGGCCACCCACATTTCGCGATGTCTTTGTTTTGCACTTCTATCAAAGACATTCATCACCCCGAACTTTTGTTGAGGATTCGAAGTAGTTACCGACGTAGCTAGCTGTCGACAAGCTACACGGTAAGCGGATAACATGATCCAGCTTTTTAAAGTCTGTTTCAGGATACCACCTTCCCCCGCGAAATTTGCTTAAGCGTTTCAACGCTAATAATTGGATTGACACTGGATTTTGTGTGCTTCAATTCTTTTCGGAATTTCGGTTGACAACGGGTTTGGTTTTAATTCCTGTAAATTCGTAAATCTTTGGACGTGTCTTTTTATCATATTTAAAGTTCAGCAAGAATTGCACGACACCTCTAACTTACAGTGTTAGATACTTTTAGGTTACTCGAGAGTAATTTGATTTCTCTTATGTTACGACATCGACGAATGACGAACTTTATTTCGGTGAGAATCAAACTAGCCAAATCGATCGGTAAACACTTTCGACTTGCTAAAAAATTCATTCAACGCGCGTATGCGTCATTGAGTCAGTGACTCCACACAGGTCACCACATAGCAACAAGGATTGCTTGGCTGGCTGTCTTCTTGTGAATGTAATGAGATGGTTCTGTATTTTTATCCAAGCACCCGCGGCATTACTGCTGACGGTCGCTCAAAAAAACCATACCATAAATTCATCGCACATCAATAAAAAGATTTGACCAGTATAGACGCACATTCAATGCCAATGTGCAAACAGCTGATCGAGCACATCCCTCGCACCGTCACGCTAAAATCTGACGTGTAACTAAGGCGCTAGTTGAAAACTAGATCCATCCAAACAATTGTTTTTAATACACACGAGGCGATTTTGTCTACACACAGTTCGGTAAAGATGATCCGCTTTTTTATTATAGCCTTTTTTTGAGTACACGATTAGTGCAACTAGTACAGTTCTAATTGTTCAAGCATTAAACCATCGTATGGTCGTTTGAAAGCATGAATTCATAACTAGAAGTTAACACTACAGGTCTTTTGTTATTATCCGCTGTAATCTTGTCGCTCAGCGCACAGCTAACTACTGAGCCAGTCCGACGACCGCGTTACACCATATCACAACCAGATCGCTCCGCAGTAGTTCAATCATAAATCACAACCCGCAGTAGCAACGCCACACACAGCGAGCCTCTCCGTAACCTATGGGTGAAGACACCTCTATTGGCCAACAAGTATGGCAATGGGGTTGGCAGATCCAGAAAAGCCACTAGCAAACGCATGCTGCTTAGGCCATCATTGTTCGAAGTGTCCTTTCTGCTGGTCAAAAGCAATTGCCGGCAGATTACGTGTGAAAAAAATGACGGGGCCGAGTCCCAGCATTGCCCTGTTGATGCTGATCATATTTCCGTTATGCTGGGGGGCCGAGGATCACTTCCTTGACGTTAGTGAAGCGGTGTTAGAAAGCCAGTCAGGCTACCTTGCTGCATTTGCGGATTTTAACAGTGACAAGGCGATTGATGTGTTCGTGCTTATTGCGTCGAAAGATTCTGACGGTGGATTCCATCAGGTCGATCTTAATCAGGCACAGAATCCGAGATTCGGCGAGGAGAAATTTGAAGTGCGTTATTGGTAGTACTGTAATTCTAGTACGCAAAAGGGGTGCCAGTTAAAGGTTGTACGTGGTTAGAATGAGCAACTATGAAATCGCTTCCCTGTCAGCTTGCGTAAATTAAATTGCCTCGATACGACAGATCGAGGCAATTTAATTTGAAACGAGTATGTACGACGGTTGCACTTTTAACGATGTTTGTGAAGATGAATCATTCAATTAGCATTGCGAACATACTGTGTGCTATTCTTCTCAAATGCGGATGGTAGGCAACACCCATATGGAACTCTGCCGTAGTAATAATTGCTTCTTATAGATAGCGTCGCTGAAAGAATTATTCTGGCCAGCCTAATCTCAGAGCAATTGAACTCATCACTCGTTTAAGAGCTAGTGACAATGGAATCGACTGCTGCTTCATAAAGACCTAAGAAACTAACTTAAGTTCACCGAAATTGATTTAGTTAATCATACTAAGTACAATACACTAGTCACTACAAACTAAAGTATATCAATAAAGATCATACAATAAAAATCACTTATTGTTTTATGTCTGCATATCAGCAAAAGCTTCTGAAAATCTTTGCATAGTTTCTGCAAATAATGTCCTGTATGTCTTTGATATTCTTAAGGTCCACCTCAGTGGTTTATTGTACCATCGAAAATATTACAGGCTAATTTCGCCTGGATAAACGCACATTTATTCTGAATTTTTTGTTTCCAGCGCAAAACTCTTATCAGAGACTTTCCAGATAAGATCGATTCAGTGATGCCCGCCGATCTGAACGGAGACAACGTTCAAGATGTGCTTCTGTACTCATATGAAACGAAAACAATCACGATACATTGGGGCACTGGAGACTACGCCACAGATAAATCCCTTTATGTGTGTGTCAATACTCTTAGGAAGAAAGTTTCCATGCTCATCTTTTATCTTTATTCTATATACTATTACCAATTTTCGATTCAAATGTAACCCATATTATATCTCGGTACTATATTATATGCTCGATTATCCAGGAATCTTACGATATTTCGCTAGGCTGTAATACACCGCGTTTTCTGGGCTACGTGTTCATTTTCAGGCGAACGTCACGAGGTTCACTGAGGCCTACGTTGAGCCTTTGTTGTTGGACTATAATGGTAATCGTTACGTAGACATATTGACGTCCTTCAACGACAGCAGCCATCGGCACATAATTGAATGCCAACGAAACAAGACAAAATACGGAAAAGTTATGGAGGAGACGCATTGCACGACGAAGGAACTCCGCACGTTGTCGGACTTGCCAACTGTCGTGCGACCGCATTCTAATTCGTTTGTTGATGTCGACGGCGATCTGAACGCGGACATTCTCATTTCGACTCTTGATCATTTCGAGGTGTGGATTTGGCAAAAAGATGACGTCTACAAGAAGGCAAGACGACCTTATCCCCTTGGTCTTAAATCAGACAAATTGGGTCAGTCGGTATTCGTGGATATCGATTCATCTGGCAGACTCCTCCACGTTGTGCAGGTTTGCAGTCCTAGCTGCAATCAAGCATACATTTGGTTACCCAATTCGACGAAAGATTGGACGAGTCACGGCAAGTGGGAAAAGATAATTGATTTAAAAGATCAAAGCTTTTGGAAAGATAATGATTACGCAGACAAAGTGAATGCTATGATGTCATTGAAATCGGCCGACTTCGATCAGGACGGCTACCCTGATTTCGCAGCGATTGTGAACTTGTCTAATAACAGCGGCCGTGGACTCATCAGCTTCACAAATAAGAAATGTGACGGGAAAGGCGACCTCTGCGTAATTAATCGCAGTTTCAAAACCGATATGTACCCTGGAGACTTCAGCCAGGTGAAACAGGTTACTAACCTTGGGTTTTTTGATATTCGTGAGAACGGAAAAATGGACGTGCTTGTCACCCAGGGCGATATCAAGTTTGGTAACTGGTCAATCAAGGCGCTAGAAAATGCCTACAGTAAGGACGCATGTTTTATCAAAGTGATTATCGTTAGTGGACTCTGCAGTAAAGATCATTGTGATGGCAAGGGTGACACCATTGAATACGGGTAAGTGATTGGAGCAATTTCCCATAATGAACTGCTTGCTCCGGTAGCAACAGCAAGTAACTATTACTCTTATATGGTATCCTTTATAGCTACGCGTATACGACAATTAGAATCGTGCAAATATACAATGACTTCTCTGATAGCTTCTATTTAGTATTTATGCAAGCGCGGCCAACTTGCACCTCCTCAGCGACACTCCCTGAACGTCTTGTATCTTTCCTTGTACTTTGCTTTTCTAGTTACAATCAGCCGGGCCCATTGGCAATGTACACCATCACAGACTCTGAGGCAAAAATGCGCAGCTCGGCGGCAGCACAGCTTTACCAAACCAGCCACGGCTCACTGCAGTTACCGTATATCCTGTTCGGTATTGGACAATCCCCGAATTTCGTCGAATCGTTAGAGATTCGAATGCCAGGCCTTAACAAAAGCCATCAGTGGACGCAAATTATTCCTAACTCGCAGATGTTGGTCATTCCGAACCCAATTAAAGAGCCAAGCCTATGGCAAAACAAGCTGTTCATTACGCCGTCACGCAAGATGCTTCACACTGGGCTAGCACTGTGCGGTGTTGTTCTTGTCAACCTCATCATCGTGTTAGTGCTGCACCTCATGGAGAAAAAAGCTGACCGAATTGAGAAGCAACAACAGGCCCACAAATTCAACTTTGAAGCAATGTAACCTGCCTGACCACAAATGCAGCCACGGTTACTGGCACGCGTTGATGGGTAAAAACAAATGCAGCGTTAACTAGGGCACAATTGTCACCCAACCACTGGAAATGCCCACCACAAACGACAACCATGAATCAAGGATCATAATGAGAAATAGCAGTAGTTCATTGACAGTGTTGAAAAACTACAGACCCCAACCAACTAGCAAATATCCGTTACTGAAAGATGGTTTAATGTCGGGCACTTGTTCGATCCAGATTACTGATACGCTGGTCTCGTAAACATCTTGTGCCCCGCGGAATTGGTTCGCACGCAGTTATGGTCTTGCGTTCAGCCCCTAATTCCTATCATGCACAGGCTAGTGCAACGTAGATGTCACACGTAAAGCACACCAAAGCGCAGCATACCGAATCATTTCTACTGGCTCTTCTGCTTGTGATTTGGAATGAGAAGTACTGGTGTTAAGCCCGAACAGTTATCTACGCACCTCCAAAACATTGTTCATAAAAACAATTTTTATACAATCCGCCTCGTTCTTCTGTTACATTGTTGACAATTTAGCTGTTTTCTGTTGCGTGACATTCCCTTTTCCTTTCTTTATAATCAATATAATCTTCTTATAATCAAAAGGAATAGTTGTATCAATTTGTGTTCATGAACAACGCTTCCTTTTACGTCATGATGTGCTGTACGGTTTTTGCTCCATTGAATCGTTTAACTGACCTAAAAAGAATAACGTCTTCTACGCGTTTTGACAGTGGTACGTTCTCATACAAATTTTCGCTAGTGTGGGTCTAGTCAGTTCTAAAACAACGATCTTCTACTGTAACCAACTAATACAAAACGTTTATTAACTTCTATTAATAGAAAAAAAGACCGCCTATTCCAAGCGTATGAGAGAAGGAATGTTGAGCCTTAGCCCGTCCCAGCCCATAGAGAGGGGGAGGGTTCGATGAACAACTGACTAATGTATAAAACTAGCATAAATAGGTAATTTTGGTAAACAATGCCACCCATTAGACGATCGCTTGTGGAAGATTTGCACGGCGGGTTAAATGAATTTGAGCGTATAATGGACGTGGCCAAGGACGGGTGTTTTTAAACGCATCCAGTATGTATACATATAAAAGGAGTGGAATCCAGAGTGGTCCGTTTTTCAAGTAAAACAATGTCATCATTAATTAATAACAAAATCACTAAGAAAGCAAACGATTTACATAGGTCACGTTGATTCAATACACTGACGTAACGTAGCCAAGTTGATAACATGCGCAACTGCTATTACTACTACTATTAGTAGTATTGTTAGCTGGACAGAACCTTCCGGCTTGGTCGCGGCTTGAGCCATCTCGCGTGATACCGTCACAGTATCTATCAGACTGCTATATACATATACCGTCTTAAATTGAACTTCAGCGTGAAAATTACGACTAACGTTACATACATATCTGAGAGGAACCGTGTTAGAGCGCCCAAAACCTGCACTTTCAGTTCTTTTCCTGGTATGATTTTCCACTTATGGTTTTAAGAAAATCGGGAGTTCGTCTAGTTTTCTTTTTCCCTAATTTTCTCCAATTATCGAAGGAAAACGAGGACATTGTTTAGGTTCAGGAAAAATTCCAAAGGTAATTGCAGATCGAGTGTGCCAGTACTCTCGAGTACTGGCATCTTTATCTTTACGAGATAAAGACAATAGTCTTCAATATAAAAGTAAGACGAAAAGTGATTCAAAAGGACGATCTGTGCATGACTCCAGCTCCGTTATCCCCGCCATTGTACTTTAGCAAGTCATTGCTATTAGCCGGTTTAGATCTTGAATGCATGTAAATGAGTGTGTATTCATCTGATTTTTCTTAAAGCGTGCTTGTCTGATGTTTGTGGCATTAGGTGACGTGACAATAACGGCTTCATTTAGCAGTTCTCTAAAAAGATGGCGGAAGATATTCCAATTTCTAAAACGCCGCTTCGGGAGACGGGGTCGATCGTCGTCGTGATACAACAAACGCGTTTAATCAGTAAGCAGTGGGTAGCTAGGGTGGTTTAGATGTATATATAAGCTTTTGATGGCAAGCTACGCCCGTATAATCGGAAAAAGCATCATGCAACTTTTGCTTGCTTTTTTCGGAAGAATACAAAACTTCATACAGCTCCCCTCTAAATTTGTTTGTGGGACGTGTCTGAAATGCTTGCAAGATAAAGGGACGACGTTTAAAACTGTTCCTTGCATTATGTCTGCAACCGATGATTCAGCAAATGATTTTGTATGCACAATGAGCACGAAAGTGAAAACGGGGAAGAGAGAAAGACAATGAAAAACGATAACGATCATCAGTGATTTTAGCAATGCTGATGACAACGACGTCCGTACGAAACACCGTAAAGGTTTCGCTGGCGGGTGAAGCGGATACGAGTTGGCTTGTTGTCCGTTGTTATACGGAAGTGATAATTCTTACTAGTAAAAGATATATTTAACATAAGCACGGTCAACTGATAATTCTTGTAGGGATACGAATGCAATCAATAATAAAAAATGCGAAAAATAATAATTATGCGGGAAATGATAAAACAATGAAAAATGATGATTGATGCTGTCATGAAGCCACAATAATGAAATACTGCTACCTATTAAACAAAACCCACAAGATGAAAAGGCATCAAACGGGTTGTTAGGTGTTGAGTGACTAGTGGATGTGTTGATATTTTCTATTTAATGATATTTTAATTATTGTACCTTAGGGCTAGGTAGTGAGCAGAGAGAGATGACTGGTTGTGTGGTGGCTCAAATGAAAGCTTACATTACGAAGGATATAGGCAGAGATGGAAAGCGCCAGTCACTCTAAGGCAAAGAAAAAGTAAGACCAAGTAGTAGATAAATGGTTACATGTAAACTGAGTATGAAATCACGAGAAATTATATGCTAATTAAAAAATAAAGAACTTATGCAGCAAATAAAGGCAAAATAACGTTTCAGAAATTCTAAAATTATAGGTGACGAGTTAAGACTCAACCAAACGTGTACACGCTTGAATATATAATTATAAAAATTAGATATTGATAGCGATGGCAATGAAATGATGAGAAATAAACAAATACAAATATCTAATTTTGTCAGAAACATTTCCCGGGTGTCTTCATTTAGAACGTGTTTGTGCATACATGCTCGGAGACGTAGAGTACGTGAATACGTGCTGTCGATCACTGATGATCTATAAAATGAGATCCAATAACAACGTAGTTATACTTCTGTCATACAAATCCTTCTGTTAAGAGACCTATAATACGGCTGATTTGTTCGGGCAAAATCGCATTCATTACGTTCTTAACGCCGCATCTCATTGTATACTATTGCATCCATGCTTGGTGTGCTTCGAACGCAAACCTAATTTCTGACTTCATCAAAATGTTTTCGCCGTATCCAGCCGGAAATACGCTCAGTTGAATATAATACTGCTTGCGGTTGCCAAAGGTAGAATTTTTATAAGTCTGGAATACATTTTGTTGACGGATACCTCTTTTTTTTAGAGACAAAAACCGACTGGCATTTAGCGTCGTCATAGAAAATATTCTTTTGCTGAATAATTACCACTAAGTACGGCAGGCTGATTCAACTAGTGTTTCCACATATGTTCGTAACTTTGAACAAATATATGCATAATTTAATGGTTTACTTAGCGGAAACACTGACCTTATTTTTACATAAACGTTACTTTTAAATGATAACAAATCTGCGATGCTTTCTGTAAAGGATTAGCGAGAAAAGGATAATTTTACCGATATTCAGCTAAATGAAGCCGCGTTAAAAATGCTGAGTACAACTTTCCCTATTATTGTGATCATCATTTCCATATCATACTGAAAAATGTATTATAATACATTTTTACTTGGTTGCAACGAATGATTATTGTCGCTGATGACGTTACAGCACAGAATTTTAGGTAAACGCAGTGAATGTGAGCTTGCTAATGCCGCTAGTCCAATTTAGAAGAGTGACTTTTGTTTCTAATAATACATCATATTTCCATGACAATAGATACACAGACTTTCGGTAGTCTTTAACATTTGACCTCATTGTGAAGTTTAGCACTGTAGTGGAAAAAAATCAATGAAAATATTACGTAATCTATGGCTCCAGAAACTGACCAAAGCTAATGAGCATTAGCTTAAATATAAAAATAACGATTCTGTTTTTTGTTTTCCATATACTTATTTGAAAACATTAATATATGCTACTGGGTAAAAAAGTGTCGAAAAAACGCTTTACTATCGTTGACTAATCTGATTTGAGGCAGTGTTTGTGACATGATACTTGCCATTCGCAGGTTAAACTCGTTGCCCATTCGTAGAGCATTCAAACGTGCGCTTCGTATTTTACGAGTTTTTTTGCAGTGACTTTCGGCAGTGTTTTTTGAGAGCCGAAGATTTATTTCTGCATTATGTTCTGTGTTAAGAATGTTATTAGCAAATGCTGCCTATACTGTAGGCTTTTGGGAGTCAGCTGGGGGCGTCACTGCTAAAAGCACTAGCGATTTTGTATTAGCCATGACAGATTTAGGACATGCCTTTTTTGAGCGGCCCGGCAAACGAAACATGTAATATTCATGCTGGAAGACCACCAAATTAACTTAAGATCTCCTAAAACGTTCTTTCATAGTGTACCGCTTTCAAATAGTAGGTGCAAGCGAGGAGCCATTTCCAGCAAATACAAATAAAAAAATTTTAACGCTTTGAAAAAACTAGATTTGTTTTACCGCGTCATTACCCGTGACGAGACCCGTCACCAGGAAATATTCGTAAGAAGTTTTTGAAGATGAAGGCTAATGCTATCCGAATTGCCCTTAACCAAATTAAGAAGTCATGGATGGACATTATGATATCACGCAAGTTCATCTGCCCCAAACTGTATCGCATTCTTTCCATAAAATAACTTATTTGAACTCTACGATTCACTACGATACACTAGCTTCGTGTGATTTTTCTTTTTAAAACTCAAGAAACACAGTTGGAAAACTTTTTTGGGCGATCGAGGAATTCCACAAGAATAACGAGAGCAGAGCTGCGTTCTACTACGGAAAAATCGGAGAACATGATGCTGCATGCTTTGAATTCGGCGGAAATTACTAAAGAGGTGACTAAGATTTTTTTGACTGAGTCGTTTGCAGTTGGTACAGAACAATCGATATTTTTTTTTGATTTAGCAATATAGTAGACAGCCCAAAAATAGATTTGTTCCCTATCATTCAAACTAAAAAGAAAGCTGCCACTCATGGCGAGCCTGTTCTCAAACTACTGCATAGCACAACTCACTCGTAATACGTTGTGTAATACGTAATACTCGTAATAGACTTGTGTAAGATAGACGATGAAGATCGAGAAACTCCTAGAGTACTGCTAATTGGTTTCTGCTGCATGTATTTAGTAAATTTATAGGTACAAAATTTTTGTGGGCTGTAGCTCCTGTCGTACTCACAAGTAGCGTGCGATGTAGCTGATTTTCGACGCTCGTGAAACAGAAGCGACCAACGAATGTCGCCGCGGTAGGGAGGAAAAGTGCAGACACAAGAACGCGCGTCGCTGACAGAGCGTCCCCAAATAACGGTCGCTCAAGAAGCTGGAGTGTTGCCTCCGATGGTGCAACGAATGTGTTTGCTGGTAACTCGCCTCGCAATGAACTAAATATGCCCTTCACGCCCGCCAACCTAAAGTCAAATAATAAGATGTGATCAACGAGTACTGCAAAGGTTCTGTCATGGATTTTAAAAAATATTAGACACATTAAATATTTAAAATAGCTAGTAATAAATAATGGCGGCTTTTTTAGTGACAAAAAAAGCGATTTTCCCGCCCAAGTTCTAGCATCATTAATGATTATGTATTTGCTGTCACTTCCTATGGTTTCCCCTATCTCTTACTCAATTTACTTCCTCTTCTCCGAAATGTGTGATGTTAAGGAACTCGTCTATCCAGTTTGTTCCACCTAGTTGCCAAATGAATTATATATACGGCGGCTGGAAACCATTGTGACCTGTCATCGTAAACTGGAAAGTATGCTGAACGCAAAGGACCTCCTATTAAGTTCTTGCGGGATGGCTTCAGCGATCTTTGCCTTATGTGTGCCGTATATAGGCATTCTTGTGGAAAACATGATTCGTCTCGTCTATCGAATGTCTTGTGTTGCACAGCTTGGGTTTCTGGAATTCAAATGGACTACTTACATGTCCTTATTTTTTCTTGGTATTTTTTAAGCATTTCCATAGTTTAAAACCCTTTCAATCCGGGAGAACGCGAGTCATGATCTTTTCGGATAAAGATCCAACTTTTTAGACTTAAGCATTTTTTATCCACCAACTATTTTACGTTGACGCAATACCATTGTTTCTCATCATTCTTAACCATATGTGGGAGTCTGTAGTTGATTTATGGGGTTTGAATAACACGTATAACCTGACAGCACAAGTCGATACCTATCACATTTTAGCTGAGTGTGGGGCTCAATTTAGATGGTTTTTTTCGGTTCACTCTTAAACCAACTCCGATCTTCATTATTATTAAAGCTTCGCAGGAGGAAAAAATGTGTGCTTCCAGATCATTTAACCGAAACTATAGTAATCGGCTTCTCAATCTCTCCGTACTAAGGTTAAGGTCGATGTTCCTCTATCCATCATGCGAACTTTACCTATATCGTCCCTTGTCTCCAGAATTTTATCCGTTTTAATGCGCAGAAGCCTTCTTGTTCTCTATTAAATCTGAAAGATCTGTTACCTTTTCTAACATTTCCTGAATGTAATGAGTGTGGCAAATTCTAATGCCGTTCCGGCACCTTCGTCACATGCGCCTCTCTGGTGTGATAAAAAGCCGTGCACCCGACTGGCGAGTAGAGAGCGTCGTCGTTCTACTGTGCTGTGCACAGCATACGCGTCCGAGGACGTTTTTCCTATTCTATGCAAATAACTGTCGACGCCCAGTTAGAATTCTGAGAAAAAACTGTCTTCACGTCGCGCCTGTTTAACCACGTTTAGGTGTCGGGTAAGGCGTCCTTGTTGACCCTGGCCTGCTAGAAGGAATGGAGGAGCGGATCACTCCTAAAACTTTTCGTCTGTCGTCGCTTCTAAGTTCAGCCTATGACCTTTGCCGTTCCCTAGCTTTTAAGCTCCAGGACATGCTTTCTGCGAGTTGGCCCAGTACTGACAATACTCTACGAGCTTTCAAGTATCAGATGACTTCTTCTTTACCACAACGTGCAGACAACCAAACTCGTTGGAGCTTTCAAACACCAGATGGCACTATTCCTTGTCACAACAACCAGACAACCAAACTCGCTGGAGCTTGCAAGTATCAGATGATTTTCTCCTTTACCACAACGTCCAGACAACCAAACTCGTTGGATCTTGCAAGTACCAGATGACTTTCTTCTTCACCACAACGTCCAGATGGCCAAATTCGTTAAAGCTTTTAAGTACCAGATGGCACTATTTCCTATCACAATAACCAGACAACCAAACTCGTTGGAGCTTTCAAGTATCAGATGACTTTCTCCTTTATGAATATGTTGGGTTCTTGTGTGATGACCCCGTATCTAGAAGACTTGTCCAGACAGACCTCTTATGCAGCAAGACTGACCAACGACATGGAAGAGCCAATTTTGCTGTATCGATCAAGCCAACCTGTTTTCGTGGTAATCCTCGGATGTTAGGTGAGATCCGTGGAGAATTTCATCGTCCTTGCAACCACAATGTGGGCTGCGCTCTCATAGCCTAATCTAGTTCTATCAGTACCTGGTGTTGTGCATTTACATTGGCTTTCCTTCGATGAAATTTTGCCTTTCACAAGCCAGCTAGTACGAGAGATAAAATACAACAGCCGAGTCTTAGCAGCTTTTTTTAATCCCAATTCATGACCAACTATTTGTCACCCGGGGTTCTCAGAACGCGGATAGCGGAACGAACTGAGTTGCATTCTTCAGGCTCAAGAGGCGATTTTCGAACTTTAACAGACGATCTTCATTATGAATTTTGCGTACAGGACACAATTGCGTGCGAAGCTGCTTCAATGGAACCTTTGAACTTAGAAAGAAGCCAAAAAAGTGAGCGCCTGAAATACGTTTCTTCACCATGAACGACCCCGATCGTTGGCACCCAAACTCGTTAAAAACCCAGTTCACGTTACAACTACGTTCGAAATGGTCTATGAAAAAAAATGTTTCGAAGAAAATAAATTTGAAAACAGTAAGAATAAAGGAAAATTTGAAGAGGCGGGGATTACTTTCCTAAAAGAGTAAAATACCCGGATAGTATACAAACCTTCCCGCGTGCCTCCACCAAAGCTTGAGAAGGTAGTGGTCCCAGCGCACCATTTTGCCGAGCACAAGCATAATTGGTATTGTGGGGAGGCCAACTAGCAGAAATAGGGGATCCGCCTGCTCCATCACGTTAAGGCCCTCACGGTGGCCTATAACCTGTCACAGCAATCAGCAAAGAAACTATTGTAAGAATGTAAGTTTTTGGAGGGAAAAGTAAGTTGCAGATTTCCACATTCGATCTGAGATTTCTCGCATGAAGACCTATTACGCAGGCAATATGCTTTACTTTATCTTACATAATCAACACTGAGCACTATCCCATTGTATTTTGAACAAGGCTATCAGAAACTGTCCTGTATTGGAAACTGCACAGAAAAAACAAGCTATGTCTTGAGAACATTTTTCGGAAAGCACAAAAGAATTGTCGAACATTCGATACTGTCATAGCTCCTGATCAATAGAATAGGTGTGCTCATGTTAGGTACTCGGCATTATTTTTCACAAAACGATATCTATTGAAGACATCAATATTCGCTTGCCTGCCCGCTTAAGACTTTTACATGTGACTCGCTCTAGTTCAAATGTAACTCATTCCGCGAAGTTTAACGTAGTCCTACAACACAGCGCAAATAAGAAATTTTAAGATCCTACCAAATAGGGACGTTATTGAAATTGGCTTTAACATTAATTTCGCCATATATCTTCAAATGCTTCCGGAATTACCAAGAAACTATCAGCAATCATTTCTCCACTTTCGCTTTCACACTATGAGGGCTTTCCCGCAATGTCCCTTGGTAATCGTCACTATTTTCGCATAGCCGCGGTCGCAAATTCGTTGTTGCTAGTCAATAGAAATGGTTATTCAGACACAAGTAGTGGAGCTAACAAATTGCTGGTTATTTGTCAGGGTTTGATTTTCTGTTTTGCTGAGAACGAAGACCTTGGAGACGCGTTCTGTATAATGTGAGTTATCGACTGAATCGAAATCGGCCAGTCAAGATGATACCTTTAGCTCTCTTTTGAGCAATAGTCCTAGCCCGTCTTTCCAGCACAAGTTGATTCCGGATATATCTGCAGTGTCAAGTATGTAGCTGCACTAAAACATGTATGCTTGTATCGGAAGTTAAAGTCATTTACAACCTAACACACGCTTGTATATTGTGAAGCAAATAGCACGTAGATCGCCTTACCTGTTTTGAATAATTGTACTTAGTATTAACGCAAAAACAACCCTCGAAACAATTCAGATGTTCTGAAGCTCGTTATCCTTCATTTATACAAATAAGATTCAAATTAATATTTACTTGTTAAGAGCTAACAATTTGAAATTGATGCGGGTATTCACGGTTCAAGTCTTTTTGTTATTTCTGTATTCGTTATGTGCGATATTTTCCTGTACAGCTCAAAAGCGACTGTTTAATGTAGTGAGAGAGCTTTTTTACGTGCTGACATTTTACCTGCATGACAGTGACGGCTCCATAGGTAACAGCGGTCCAATAAACGGAACCGAGCACAACTCCGGCGGCCAGAAATGGAGATGCCCGATACAACAGCCGATCCACCAAATCGAGGACGTACACAAATGTGCCTGTTCGAACGGTAGCAACAACTATTTGTTAAAACATCTCTTTTTAGACGTCTATACTGGGGGTACCTAGGGAAACGGTTCCGTTATCCTCCCTCTACAACTTGGCTAACTAAAGTAGTGAAGTAGCATTCCACCAATGCTCAACGGCTAAGAATAGCTTCTATCCTTATTAACTAACGTGTTATGTTAACCAAACCCGTTTACGTGCGGCACGCTACGAGCAGCAGACTACTAAAAATACTGAACTGTATTTAGGGAAGAATATTAGGTACTCGGTGTTGCACTGAGGACAGCTGACTCGCTGGCTCTGATTGCCGCGCTGCTTCTCGTCTATCCACCGCTGTAGACACTGCTGATGTACCCATTTCGTTGTGCCTTTGCATCTGCACGGTTGAACCCAGCCGGCCTCTCGGTCGTCCTCGTCCGTCGCGAAACACACCCAACAGGCCCGGTTCCTGCAAGTAAAAACAAACAGTTCTATTTTGATACAGCTACAAATGAAAAAGCTTTTTGAAACTGTAATAGATCTATTTGGCGCTATGCTGATAATGGCCTCCGATTTCTCCTAAAAAGCGCTAACGGTCCGAAGAAAAATTTTGTGAGTTTTAACTATTGAGAGCACGCAATATAAAACCCATGATTGGAATCGCTACCTCTGCTATCACGGCAATATTTGGTTGTACGGTTATCGTATATATTGCAATTTATAGTACTGCAATATTCTGTTACCATAATGAAAATAGTTCGCTCGTACGTTAGCCGCAGCCACTTCTATCCGATCATAAAGAAAACGTCTGAGCTAGACCTATAAACAAATCGCGAAACAGTAGTATCATATATTAAATTTTTATATGCAGATATCTAAAAACAAGAAACCTTTTGACGACACACAGCCTTTATAATCGTTGACCAGGGCTGTACGATCATATAGAAATTGTAATAAAAAATCATGAATTATTGGTAATCAGGGAAATAATAGTAACGTAATACTACAGTCGTTAAAAACCGTCAGTTCAGATTAGTGTGTTCATTGGCGAATTTAAAAGCTGAAAATAAAATGGAGGTTGGTGCAGTGTAGATATCCGCTTGCATGCCAAATGTACAGATCCAGTCCTACAATTAGTTCAGTAAAAGTAGCATGTTCAAAATAATGTATATTGTGCCAAATTACCTATCCATCAATTACACCGACTTGCATTAATGTGGTATTGTCAATTTCCCTTGCTTTTGGCAAGCGGTAAAATTCGTTCGGTTTTTTTCACGACAAACTGACGATGGTACCAAGCCGTCTAACTCTAGCCCACACACCTTTTTCTCCCTACAGCCCTAATATTCATGATCTGTGTTCGCTACCCTCGGAGTTTCAAGTCTGCGTGCGTCTTTTTCCTATCTTTTTGCGCAAGAAATGCTCCACGTCCATTTTCCATTACTTTTCAGGCTTCACGACCTCCGTCACTTCCCAGTTGCTACTGCTGCCCTCGCCAGTTAACTGCTTGAGCCAGTTTCACACTTAAGACTGCTGCTGCCGCTAGTTCCCGCGGTAGCTTAATGGGTAACGTATGTGCCTGCTTAGGCATACGTTATATACTAAAGGTAATGTACACTAGGTTCAAATCTAAGCCTAGCATCTTTCGCGCTGGGAGCCAACCATCTTATGCAATGCCTAACACTGATACGTAATGCTCGAAACATAGAAGCTGCTGCTGCTGCCAGCATTTCTCCTGTCAAGTCAGTGCCACGCTAGCGCCAACTGTACTCACAAATCCACAGCCCCAGCATTGCGTTCCCCAAGCCAACTCCCGATTAACTTTTCGCTTGCCGCTCGGGGCGCACTTAAAGTTCGAATTGTAAAAGTAGAACCACTATTGTTGCCATGGCTGGCTACTACTGCTGCTATTTTTCCGTCATCCAATGACATGGCCGTGGGTGGCTGTTTATCACTTGCATCGGGAATTCATAGCGATGCGTATGCGGCATCGGTTGTAGAGGACCATCTTAAGGCTACGGCTAAGCTTAGACCGCTAGGAAGATAAGCCGCAGCTCAAAGACAAGGTCTGTTGATAAGTTGGCTACCGTCAGTCAATACCACTCCTGTTACTGCCATATTGAATGGCAATTCCAACGCTTTCGACGCCGTTATCGGTGTTGGCCGCACTCCCACACACTCGTCCACAGAGACGCAATCACACGTCCGCGTTGATCTATACGCACGGGTAAACAAGTGAGTTTCTTCTCGCGACGAAATCATCCGTAGGACGCAGATTCGGACCCCGCTACACCGCAGATTTCAACTGTGAAGTCCTCTATTAAAGCTCCTATTCCGAACAGTTGCCCCTTAGGACTTGTGGTTTTAGGTTTCTTTAGGACGTGCAGTGCCGGCGATGCCAGCACTTGCCACTGTCACTTGGCGCTTCATGTGTTAGCTGATACGCTGAGTCACCGAAACACGCTTGACTCTGACTTTTTTGCAGATTAAAGAAAGACAAGACAGACACCGAAGCGACTTCATGGGGTCATTCAGAAACCACTCCACCACCAACAACTCTTCAGACAAAAACGCGAGAACTTCTGTTGTCTATGCAGTTATTTTAGACACCACAGCAAGCCTTCATAGGTCGTATAAAAGAGCACGTCGTTTTGCGCATAGGGTCATGCTATTCTCGTTCTGTTTTGGAGTTCGTGAAGTTACAGTGATAAAAACTAGATATGATAGAGAACACATCTTCACAACATCCTAATCGTAAGCAGTCAGCAAGATCTCTTTGGCAGCAGTACATAAATAATGCTATGTTCTTTTTATACTAGTACTAGGTTAAACATGTGTGTTCTTTTCCTTGATGCACTGGCCACTTAAAAGTGCCTGTAGGAGCTAAGAAAGAAAAACCATGATATTTACCGTAGTATCTCTCCGTAATAGTGTTATCTACAATTTTACCACAGACCATTCATTTTTGCTCCGTCAGAACATTTAGTGATCGCCAGATTAACTGTATGGTAAAATAATATGTGTTGCAGTAGTTCTTATGTAATGATTAAAAGCAATTCCACAAAAGGAAGCCGTGTGCTAAAAACAATTTAGTTCGAACGAACTCATAGCCATTTATCCATGGCATTTTAAGGTTCTGATGCCGAATTTGAAAGGCGACAAATAACCAATTTAGATTTCATGTACTACGCCGGAGCTTATGGAAACATTACCTTCAACAACGCAATAATTTATCTGTGTGGGCGGGTATTTTCTTTTATAACCGACATATGCAACTTGTTAGCATTGCATACGCTAGAATCAATTACTGTAGTTACTAGGCTATCGGCTTGAACCACTTAACTTTAATGAGAAACAAGCCAACCAGAGCTGCGCCTAACTAGTCGCAGAGTGTTCGTGGATATATAATTAAGCAAAATGGTTTGGCATGTGCGCAACAAATGTGAATGATCTCATTATGATCCGTATGTCACAACGATATAAATGTACCGATGTTACTAAATATTATGTCTGTTATCGAGTAAACGAGTCAGGTAGCCAGCAAACCCTTTTAATAAGAATCTTCTTACTCTAAATAGCTGGATTCGTTAAAGCTTCACCTTATAAGCATAGGATAAAAAGGAAGGCGCGGATTAATTACCGTCAAATAAATATAAATAATGTATTGCTTCTGTACGATAAAATACGCGAACCTAAAAAGAAGGTATGCTGTGTTTCACCACCTTTTTGAAAATTATTTACGATTTAGCACAGGGCCTACATGTCACAGTGCCGGTAAATGTACGTATAATTTAGGTAACCGACAGCTGTCTAACTACACGATCAACCTTCACAGATCGCAAGATATATTTTAACGCCACTCTTTTTTTTTTTTTTCGGAGGTTGAGGGCAAATGCGTTATGCAGACCGGTCATAGGCATGACAAAACTACTCCTATGTCCGGTACTGTGGGACTCTCACCCACTAAACCCTGGACCCCTTTGTCAGCTTGGGCCATGGCTCGGTATATTTTTGATATTACTTCGAAATTTAACGCCACTCTGCATACACGAACCTGGCTAACTCTGTATCATATTTGCCTAAAGGACCGGCTAATAACAAGACACCTTCAACCGCTGTAGCATTACACCGAATAATCAGACCAATACTCACCACTTGCCTCGTCCCAAATCTCTCCTAACCATAAACCCGCTTCATTCGGTGTTTACATTCAGTGGGCAGCCCAACTTGTAAGATCCAGGCAAGTGCAACCACTGTGGATATGGTGCACCCAGCGCGCTTACCAACCTAAAATGGCCTTTCAGTCTTCGTTGGGGTTCAATCCCCGTGAAATCAGTCCCCGCGCTCCCATCGCGCTCTAACACATATTTCCAACTGGAGCAACGACCAAACCGTCAACGACGCATCAACTCGCGCAGCAAAGGAGCCGCCATTACCAGATCCAGTTAATGGTTAGCCGCCATCGTTGCTCCTGACCAAGAGGATCAGTCGATCAAGACCGATTCCGGTCTTCTAAGCACGAAGCTTTTTTTCTGCTAAGGAAGACGATAGCCGCCACAGACCGCAGGTTCCACCGACCGCGCAGGCTGCGCTAGCAATGGCCGTTCTTCGGTCCAATAGCTGCAACCTCCACTTCTCGCTAGGCTCTATTGCTTTCCAAGAATGGTGAGGCTACATAAGCGTCCGTGTACGGGAAACTACAGGCGAGTCGCGAAGGGACCGGTGGGAATTGGGTGGCGGCCGGCAACGTCACCGAGCGGTAGCCGCTAGAAGAGTTGGCTGTATGGCCTCCGCTCTCTATTGGCTCGTTGGAGCCATCGGTTGCAGAGTTAGGCGAAGTGTCGTCCACATTTCATCGGGAAAGTGAGTCCAGGTTGCGGAAAATGAGATCCAGCTGGTTGGCTGCTGCTCGAAGCGCAGCGCCGACACCGCTGCCACTCTGCGCAGCCTCCGCTTCGTTGCGTCAACCACAGCGTTGAAGACAACGAAACAAGAAAAGAAAGATGACAATTTCTTGTTTAGCCGTCCTCTCATACTGTCATGGCCTTTCTACCGATCTTTGTGATAATTTTGCTAGCTACCACTTTTGTGCTAATTTTTCATATACTAAAGAAATCTCCACTAAGAAGCGCTGGATCTCACTCGTCGAGTGTGAGTATCGGTCAGCTAGCCACTGATCAACTGAAGTGTAAGAGCGAGACGCTACTGAAGTGCAAAGAGAAAAACACCCCGTACAGACCACATATATATATCACAGCTTCGCTAACCATACTACAAACTTTACCGAGGAATAGGATAAAGTGTGCGTCCACAAACTAGCTCTATGAAAAGGATTATGGGGAGCGACA